GTGGGACCTCTGCTGAGTGCTGGGGGTGTCAGGAAGCCATCTGAGGTCTTCTCGTGTGCTCAGCCCAGCTGGCTCCTACCTTCAGACCATTATAGGTTTGGCAGAGTTTGGTCCTCTAGTAAACAGCTTCCTACATTACGGGTCAATGCTTCCCTTCCCTCCTATCCGGAGATCTGGCTCCATGTTCTCCTTTGCCCTCTGCCGCTTCTTGGGCAGCCCATGGAAAGGTTTTGAATTTGTGGGCTTGACTGCAGCGATGTGTAAGTAGTTAATTCTGCACCGGAGGAGGTGACCTTCAGGACTAATTGGGCACACAAAGGACCTAAGTGAAAGAGCCTCATCTGGGTTAAATAATGCATAGAAGGTTTGACTTTGGCTCAGAGGGAAATTGAATTAATGTACAGTGATACCATCTCCATGAGCTAATCAAGATAATTGCCATATTCTTGATTTAAACAAATATGTTAAAAAAAAAAAATGCGGATTCTGAAGTAGAGATAAACAGCAAGGGTAACCAGCTCGGTGAAGGCTGGTAGCGAATTTTTCATGTCAAGAGGAAAAGCAGCAACAACAAAGCAGTCACACAGCATCCTTTGTCTTTGACTTGAGGAGCTGGACAACGAGAAGCTGTTACCCTGGCAGAGCATCCAGATCCAGCTCCGTTGGCACTGATTATCACTGTCACGGGTTGAACGGGAAGGCAAGTCTTTAATCCGGTTACCGGACAAGATGAGCTGTCCTGCATTAATTGACAGTGAGTGTCAAGCCCTCTGCGGAGGCAGAAGTCTGTATAATTCTAAAACCCTCACAGAAGTCCTAGGTAGGTCTTTAGGGACAGGCTAATTGCTGCAGGGAGCTAAGTTTCACTCTCAAAGGAAGGGGGAACTGCATGATACTGGACCTTGCTCTGTGCTAAACCCAATCAAGCAGGACTCTTACAGCAGGCGCTGGTGTAGGAAGGGTGCAAGGATGAGCTGCAAGTGCTGTGAACAAGTCTTCCACCCTCCAAAAACAGCACCTGTCTCCTTCCTGAACCCCTGGAGGACCTGGATTCCCTGGTTTGCCTTCCACTGCGGGGTCAACATATCAGACATATCCTCTTCTCTCCTCTCCGGAGTCTCACCAACGTGTCTGTATATCACAGCTCTTCACAGCCATACGATAAAAGCTGAGAAATGCCCCGGTAAGAGCAACAACCAAAGGAGAAGCAGAGATGCTGGACACGTACCTATGTAGTATTGTCACTCTTGCAACACCATCGCTTTTTCGTGTTGGGTACCAGGTTTTATGGTCCTCCACAGACAGTAAGGTAAAGGTAAATCTTGCAGGGATGTTCTTCATGGGGCCACTGGTGCAGCGTAAACTTGCCAGCTGGATTTATGCTTACCCTTAACTTTTAAAGCAGTGGTGCCCATCCTGCCTGGGGCCATAAACAACTGTTATGTGCAGTGAGAACCATCAAGCTTTTCCTTGGAGTCAGATCTGATGTCTTTATTTCCTCGGCCACAAGCAAAATGGAAATAGGGGCTTCACCTTCCCCCTCAGCCAGGACTGAAAACAGCTCAGAGCACCTTCCAGTCGCTCATGATCACAGGATTTCTCTAAATCACTTAAACTTCCCCAGTGTAAATTTCCCGATGTTCTGATACAGAAACCAATAACCTGCAAGTTTCAAACATCAATTTGTTTTACACCATCTTCTTCAACTTCTTGGCTATCAAGGAATTTACATTTCATCTTGCCATGCCTGCACTCATCCCTGCGGTTTGTGTTTGACTCATGCATATCTTCTGTCTAGAGAAAATATATCTTAGGGAAGGCATCCAAAGTTATGATTTAAGATACCAAGAAATAGAGAATATACTGCTTCTCACAGTTGGTCGCTCTACCGGTTAGCTAATCTCAGCCCTAAAAAATTACACTGCCCTGTCAACTTGAATGTCTCTACCTTTGCTTTTCTAGCCCTTTGCCCTTCTCGTGCCTTTCTCTGCTAGGCTGAGAGTCCTTCTGTAGGTGACAGTTTTGTGCTGACATGCTGTGATCTGGACACTCCTTGTGCTAAGATAAACAGATCAAGTTGTTTTAGTTCTCAAGCATAAAGCATTTTCTCCCCACGACTGCATTTTTGAACTGTGTTTTTTTCTGCACACTCTTCTATTTTCCCCATCCTTCACAAACTGCAGACACCAGAACTGATAGTACTAGTCTCATCAGTGTTGTGCAGGGAGAAAATCAGCTCCCTTCTACTCACTAAAGTAGCAAGGGATGAGTAAACATATTCATCTTATTTTTCCATCCAAGCAATGGGTTAGACAGATTTGCCATGGATGGCTTCATGATTTGTTTACTCCAACCTCTGAGAGTCAACACTCAGCCCCATTCTTTAGATGCGGCCTGTTACATTTGTACCTTGGCAGTAGACTGTGTAATAATAACGTTATGTTTAAATGAAACTTAATTTATCAGTAAATCTACGGATCTCACCTTTATTTACTAATCTTCTCATTTTACCAGTTCTGATTTTTTTTTTTTCCAGACCATGCATGCAAAACCAGGGTAGGATCAAGCCCTGCTGATTCACCCCAAACAACCCCACTGTATGATCCCCTACTGCTGATTAACTTTTCAGAGCAAGTTCTTGAGGTATTTAATATGCACTTTTCACAACTGAGAAGAATAGAAGACCAACCTCATGGACAGGCTGGGAAAGGATCAATTAGGATAAGACGGGCTAGGATAGCGTAGGATAGGATGAGGAGTGACAGTCTTCAATTCAAGCAAGGAAGATTTAGACTGAGCATATTAAAAAGTTTTTTTGACAGTAAGACCAAACTTTAACAATAAGATAGGTAAAGACATTATTAGCACTAGCAGAATTTATGAACAACTTAGATCAGCTTGATAGGATCCATTTAACCAAACTGTAGATATCTGCAATGTAAACACCCCCGTCTGAGCTAATCATTCTGGACTGCTTTTATGGAGGTAGACTTTCAGGCTACTACTTGTCTCATTACATCCTAAAGCCACAATATCTGATATAACTCATCTGAAACTCACCTTGAAAGTACCTGTTTCTCTCCACTGCCTATAAAGGGAGGCTGAGGTAACTAATTCAGAGATGGGCTTTTACACTGCAGTTGTATAAAGTTACATCAGAATCTGTCAGGAACAGTTAAATAGAGATAACTGATCACAGGTTTGGATGAGATATCTCTGAAGACACATTCCCAACTCTATTTTCAGTGATGCTGCGCTATCATATAGTGCTGACTTGCTCTAGTCAAGATTTCCATAGCCTAACCACTGGAGAATACTGTCTTCCATTTAGCTCTAAAAAGCTTTCTTATGACTCTTCTGAAGTGCATAAAAGGACCAGAATGATGACTTTCACAAATGCTCTATTTTGCTGGATAGCAAGATATAATGGATCACTGTTATAAATATATCCACAGACTAAGTTGGATTTTAGCTTCTGTTTCATTTTATCTCTTTTATACTTTCAGTCACACTTTTAATATGCTTTAGGTAGAAATCTGACCATTAGTGGCTGTAATGTTTAGTTTACTTCACTGTCCATTGCTACATCTGTTTTCGAGCACAGGAACTATTGGGTTCTTTACAAAAAGAAAATATTGCCTTGATTTAGCATGATGGTCCTGACAATAAAGCAGGCTTCCACTCCTATAGAGAAAAACACCCTGTCTTTCCTCCCTAAAGCCTCCCTCAAGCAAATTCAATGTAAGAGATGGAAGGGTATTAACTTTGATTCACTGAGGAATATTGCTGTAGTAATTGCAAACAGAACCTTGATGGCATGCAAATAACCTTTCAAAAGATTCATCACAGAGTTTCTATCAGTTCTTTTAGAGGCAAGAGCAAAGAAACTCAAAACTGGTCCTGGAACATTTAAAAAAAGAAGAGACAAATCAACTGCATGTCTAACACACGGGTATGTGGATATGTGGATTTAGCCAGCTTTCCTCCCTGAGTATCTCTCTCTCTCTTTTTTTTTTTTTTTCCCCCACAGTTTTTGTCTTTGTAATCTTGGGAACTATCTATTCTATCCAAATTAGTCTCCTACAACGGGTTTATTATTATGGTATCTGAATGCCTCCATGTAACCACTCAAACCATATAGGAAATTACGCCCTAAAAAGAACATTTCAAAAAGACTGGAATTTGAGAATAAAAATGGAACTAAAGAAGCGGGGAATGGTTTCTCAACAGCAGGATGAATTTGTAGACCATCCTTCTAGAGGCCCTTGTTTGAGTAATATATCTTTTTCCTATTTGATATCAGAAGTATACTATATTCATGGTCTTTATAAGCAGGGAATTGCCAATAGCAATATAAAATAAAAACACAAATCTTCAAGTCACTGCCATTGCTGGATTTTTCACTGCGTCTCATCTTCTCTTTGCTCAAAAAATTTGTTGGGCGGAGATGGTCTTGAATAGCTCTGAGATTATTTTTAAAGTTTAGTGGGGCCAACCACAACAGAAGCAGAGCAGTCCATTAATTACAGAATCATTTTCTGAGCAAGCTGTCATTAGTCATTGTCAGTTGTCATTCTACATCAGCCATTTCAAACAATTGAAAAAAGACACTGGAGCACAAGAAGTAGGTGAAAAGCTGAGAAAAAAGAGGATCTGATGGAACTTTCACACTTCCAGGGCTTTTCAAAGACAATTCTCTGACATGCAGACTAAATTTCCAGTCCCAACTATAGTTAAGGAGAAGCAGGTGTCCAAATTCCTTAGCTGATTTAGAAAAGCTCAGCATAACCTCTGTCTGAAGTTGATTTGGTAGATGGATCTTATTTAAACTTTAACACACGTACATCTAATATGAAGTGTTTGTGTGAGATCTAATATTTTCTGTTCTGAACATTTTATTTGGACAATAGCTCTGCCCAGGGAATTAAAAATCTAACAAGTTTGCATGGTTCAGAGGACACAGAATGAAGTCAGCAGCACAATACTCGTGATATACTTACTCATAAAATGTTGTCCAGCCATTTTCATTGCTTTTGGTGGCAAGGAGACCAGAGTTGCCGTGGTAAGTCATCATGGCCACTTCATGCCCCTGCGTGGTTACACTCTTGAGAGCGCTGTTGGTACCGATTGTCACCCAGTAGACTTGGCCATCAGGCACGACCAGCCAGAGGGGCATCCCCGTGGAATCTCTCCGGATGTTGACTAAGTTGCCGTTGTTGTCAGTGATCAGGGTTATATCTCCATCCCCAGAGTAAGTAAAATTGTAAAGATAATCTCCGGTGGTAAGGCTCTGAGTATAAAGGTGCTTACCACTGGTGTCAAACAAGTAGAGTTCCTGGTCTATGGGCGAGGATAACTCATACATATTTTGCGTGTTGAGGAATGGTTTGTTCTTCCGAATAAAGCGTATTCGGATGTTTCCAAGGTCGGCGACGTACAGCTCCCCGTCTGCACACACTGCAAGGGAGGACGGCGCGTTGAGCTTGGCATCCTTGGCATAGCCATCGTCCCCCGAGAAGCAGTCACAGTTAGCGTCGTTCTTGCAGTCACAGCTGCTGGGTGCACCAGCCACGAGAGAAATCTCTCCGTTGGTGGTGACCTGCCTGATGCGGTTGATCTTTTTCTCATCGGTTTCAGCAATGTACAACACCCCGTTATGGGAGACGGCCAGGGCGGTAGCAGACTCCAGGGTGGCGTGGATTGCCACCTTGCTCAGAAGAAAGTGATCCATCCCCGGCACCTGGCAGTGCATGGGCCTCCCCGCCACTATGCGCACTTGGTGGTTCTCAGAAATCTGCAACACAACGTTGTTGTCGAGCACGTAGAGCGAATTATCCATCGGGTTGACTGCCAGATCTGTGGGCCATTCGAGACGAACCTTGATGGTGAAACAACACAAGGAAGTTATTACAATGAGACCTCTTTTCACCATATGATTGCTACAAATCAATATCAGTGAGGATATTTCAACATGGATTAAAGGGAAAAAGAGTAAAAGAAGCTCAACTGGTTATTACTGCTGGGTATGATGGCCACAGAGGACATCACCCTGGTGTGAACATCATGAAAACCCACGTTTTGCTTCATGGGGCAGGTGATGGGTAGAGGCAGATGCTCTTCTGCCTTCATTATACCATGAATTAGGAGAAATTTCTTCTCAGCAAGTGGTCAGGCATTGGGATGGGTTGCCCAGGGAAGTGGTGGAGTCCCCGTCCCTGGGGGTGTTCAAGGAGAGGTTGGACGTGGTGCTTGGGGACAGGGCTTGGTGGGTGACATTGGTGGTAGGGGGGTGGTTGGAGCAGGTGATCTTGGAGGGCTTTTCCAACCCTAATGATTCTAGGATTCTATTCTATGGCTTTTCTGCCTCTCCACCTTGGTGTGAGGTGTCTCAGCCCAACCAAAGTGGCATCGGTGCACTAGCAGAACAGTGTTGTGCCAGGAGAGTGGGAAATAGGAGTTAACTAGACATCGGATTCAAGTGGGATTTCCCCTCTTCGAACCACCCTACGCTCTTTGGATTGATAGAGCCTGGACCTGAGAGTGGAGACCTGGGACTGGGAATTTTGTTGGTTGAAGTGCTGTGAAATCGATCAGTCAAACAAAACAATGATCCTTCTCCTTCTACTAAAGGATTTTCCAGACAAGTGGCCCAGCTCCTCTGGGTAAATGACATGGAGAGATATAGAAAACTGGCAGCTGCGTCAGCATTTGTGTATGCCCAAGGTATAACCACCTATTTTGTGCTTGATACTGCAAAAATGCAAAAATAGCAAATCACAAGAAATTCAGGCTATTTCACTTTGTGGTATAAAATCCTTATATCTTTATATTGTTTTTCGTATTTTTTTGAACATAATGGAAGAATGGGTTCAAGTAATAGTGACACATCCTAGTTCTACACTGATAATCCATAGACACAAGTAAACTGAAGATGTGACTGGTAACATTACAAGTGAGTGAGCGCTAGAAGGTCTCTATTTCTAGCTCTATTTGTGCAAAATGTGTCTTTTCAAGTGAGTTTACTCTTTCAGTTGTCAGACTCAGGAAAGCTCTACTAACAGAATTCAGGGTAATTTCTTTTCTTTTCTTTTTTTTTTTTTTTTTTTAACAAGGACTGTGAGATGTTTTCCTTTTTATTATTTTATTCTACTTTACTTTTATATATAAAAAGGTCAGTGTTGTGCTGATGGGAGTCAACCAGTGCTTACATGTTTTCTTAATTGTGTCTCTTCTCCATAACAGGAGTGAAGTGGAATTGGAAATGAACAACCTTGAAGAATGCTCTTGGTCACCTCCAGGCAGTCTTTTAAATAGATTTTCAACTAGTTAAAAAAGAATAGCTATTCTGGTTATATCCTGCCTTTCAGTCAGCCAGGCAACTTGAAGTTGGAGCAGGTGGATTTGCTATCTAGTGGTTGACTGAAAAAACATGCACTTTGTGCCATTCTCTCCTCTCCTGTGTTTTTTGTTGGTTTGTTTGTTTTTCTTTACCCAATGGCATGATGGATGTGCTGTGACTGAGAGCTGTGGGAAGGGCACACGTTTGAAACCAAGAACAAGAAGAGACCGGGTATGAACTAGAGGAACACACAGAAGATTCATACTTTTAAAGCCTGTGCTTGAACATCTCTGCCACAGCCATGCTTTACTTTTGGTGCTTCTACTCACTTTTCAAGGTTTTTTTTTTTTGTTTGTTTTGTTTTAAGAGCATTAGTTGCATGGTACTCAGTTCATTATTTCTTCTAGTATCTGGGCTTGTGAAGCTCAGTTTCATGGCTAAAAACAGTGCTCAGCTCTGCCTAGTCTGATTCTCTGCTTGCAAAATCTTCCTTCTCTCAGCTCCTGGCCTATTTTAACCCTTCCTGTAGTAAAACATTATAGCCTGTGGTTTCCTCTTTAATAATGCATGCCTCCATCCCTTCCAGTGGTCTTTAAGCTCCTCAGCCTTGAGTTAGCATCAAGAGCAGAGTTTATTCTGAACCGACAAGGGAATTTTCAATTTCTTAAAAACCACTCCTTGTCAACATTGGCAGCTAAATATTTCATGTCCCAGATAGCCTCGGGGACCTGACAGAAAAGACCTTTCTATGCACTGTAAATGATGAAAAGCTACTTCCCAAGCTGGGTTTTGTTTGCTTGTGCATTGCTTTTGTTTGTTTGTTTTTTTCCCCTCATTAATCTTGTCTTTGGTGTGTCTTTCCAGAACATGACTGGTTAATCTGTCCATCACAGTACAGATTAATCTAAGAATGGCTCCTGTAATTTTGTGAAGGGAAAGAAAGAGGCTTTAGTTGATCCATTTTAGCTCATCTCAGAGTTTAAGTATGACACTGGTATGCATATAAGCCACATAACTTGACAGAAAATATTTCTTATAGCCTGAATCCTCAGTGGTCTTGCGGTAACTGCCCCTGAAATTCGTATAAAGAAAAAACATGCCTTTAAGATGAGAAACACACTACAAAATGGCCTTTAACCATCAAAATTTACTTCTATAGAAGGCATGAGAGCTTTTAAACTCATAATTTTAGCTTGTTCATAAATTGCGGACAGTGGGAACCAGTTGCAAAGAAGCAAGAATAACCTTGTCAAATTAGAGAGAAAAACAAGAAGAACAGATTCCATATGGGAGCACGGAAATTATCTAGGTAGTTACAAAAAGGAAACCCCATTGACATCTATTGTGGCTGAATAACAGTACTTAGCCCTCCAGCTATGATCCGTATTTTCATAGGAGAGGGCAACATTCCTCTAGCCAAGCAAACAACGAGTGGCACAAAGGTTTCAAAGGACAGTATCTCGAAACTGGCACAATTTGACAAGTTGGCCAGTGCCCCACAAAATCGAATGCTGGGCTGTAACAGATTTCTCTTCGGCACTATCCAGAAGCAAAGCAATCAGCAAACTGAGATTTCTTTTTCTCTCTTTCTTTCCCCTCCACCTTTAAGCAGCAGGACTTAAAAGCCCAGCATGATGGTAGCTGCAACCAATTTGCAATCTGATGCAATTCAAGATTCTTGTTTTCCTGCTGTTGCTAATTTTGGCACCATGGCCTCCAATCAGTATTTCCTAGATGTTAATTTGATTCAGGCCTAAAATTTTGCTGGGCCAAATCAGAATGGGGGGAAGCAATGAAAAAAAAAAACATGGTTTGCTAAGCTGTTATAACAGAGCAAAGTGTTATATCCCCACTAAAATAAGTACAGTTTCCTGTCCTTTTTAATTTAAAGCAACTACTTTCTTGAGAAAAGAGCCTAATGAAACCTGCTTTCCCAGGAATCTGTTTCTCACAGTTGGCTGGGAGCTCTGAAAGAAGTCTTTAAAATCTCTCTCCCCAGCAATTCTCTGAGTTAGGTCTTTCTTTCAGTCTTTATAGGATCTCTTTTTTTTGACTCAGTAATTTCCATGCTACAGAATATGTAGGGATGTAATTCTCCTTAAGCCCTTATCTCCGTGTCAAAGTTGGGGAGGCACACAGACATGCAGACAGGGTGAATGCCTAGGTTTTTATTCTATGGAGAACCAAACCAAAGAGTTGTCTTACCTGAGAAATGTCCATGACAGAGTCACAGCTGAGAGGCCGAGCAGATGTCAAGTCATTGGAACCCAGCACTGTTGAGATGATCCCATTCTGATCAATCCGCCTGATCATTGTGCCATCCACAAAGTAAATCAGCCCAAACTTGTCCACAGTGATGCCTGGGGAAGAAAAAAGCACGTCAGTCAGAAAGGAATAGCAACCTGAAAATACGAAGTGAATGGAAGATAAGAGTCTGGTCTGACTCATGAAAGTGAAGTGTAAGACCACTGGTTTGGTTGGGAACAATATATTTTATGGCATTCAAAAAGGATTCTAATAACTATGTGTTCTACGTGTTCAGAAACATGATGCTTTGCTCATGGTATGAATATTAAGCCATGAGCATGAAAATGTTACACTGGGGAATGTTTCAGAGACAGTGATGAGAAAGGCTCTGAAAGATCCACCAGGTCAGTCAAATTCCAGATGGATAAATGTGGAAGGGTTTCTGCTGGGATAATCCTACTCATCTCCAGTAGCTCACCTGTTTCTGAACACTGCAAGGTGATTTATTTCATTGTCCCTTTGTAGACACACTCCTACCAGTGGATTTGAAGTCTGCCAACAACAGTTACAGACTGCTGATTCTTGTTTCCTCACCTACAGATATGTGCCATTTCACTTCCCCTTAGGCATCATTTCTCAAGTATTTGTTATGTTACCACAACCTCCTTTAATCCTCTTTATCCCAGGCCAGCTATACCCTGCATCTTTCATCAGAGGTTTTCCTAGTGCTTTACACTTACTAATTAGACCTCATAGCAGCCTGTGAGCGTGAGCATCTTAATTTTACATGCCGGGAAAATAAGAGATAAAGCAATTTTCACAAGGTCGTAGAGAGTGTTCATGACTAAGGCAGGAATAAGAAGTTAAGGGCCCCATTCACCTCTCTTTTATGCTAGTATAAATTAAAAATAACTCCATAGATACTAATAGAGTCATCCATCTCGTCTATCCTACGGTAGCAGAATGCTGCTCAGCATAATATTTAAGTGTCTCCAAGACACTCAAAGAATGTAAAAGAACAGGAATGGAGAAGCCTGCAACACCCTTTTCTATCCAGGTGAAAACTCTGTTTGGAATATATGAATATTAGAATCTTCCTGTTTGGTTTCTTTCATTAGCAGGGTAGCAATCACTTGGCAAGAAGTAGACATCTGCATTGTGCATCCAAGCAAGTAGCTGGAGCATTCAGCAGAGAGAAATACCTTTCTAGGGTGCTACGCATATCACCCTAAAACAGATGTCTGTAGAAGATTATGCGAATCCTTCCAGAAGTACCTTTTCCTCCTCGTTGACTACAAAAGGAGATTACAGCAAGTGTTTCCACAGGAAACATTTATACCATAGACAGATAAAGTTAGTGAGATGAATCTTCTCCATAATGTTATTTTATTTTATTTTTTTTTGGCTGTCATCTCAGTGACAAATATGATGGAAAATCTGTTGCAGACAGAAAGCTTTGAGAATGTTTCTGAGAAGCGACCAGATCTTGTGTTTCTCCAAAATGCTGTGTTACAGCCAGATCCCCTTGTTTGAAACATTTACCCTCCGTCTTCATCCACTGTGAGGTATGCTGTGAATTACAGATGCAGCAATTCACAGATCAAAAGTTTTTGCCTTTCATGTAGCAGGGACTAATCCCCTGATTGCTTTGGAAATTAAAAGCATGGCCTTTAGCCAGCACTGTAACTATTGTACGGGCTGGGAGCCATGGAGGTGGATGATACATGGAAAAATATATCGTATTTGGTCATAGAGAAACCTACAGAGGAAATGAAATGGCACGGAAGATAATCTAGCCTGGAAGTAATGGCAAGAAAACCTCAGGATTAAGTCATTGTTTGGGAGAAAGAACAAACTTCTCCATTTTGCTGAGGTAAAAGGAGGGATTCAGACAGGGCTGCGACCTGTCGAGCCAAAGTCAATTAGGAGTCAGGACACTGACGTTGCAGATCACTGAGTTGAATGGGAGCTGTGTATTTTTGCTGGGAGATAAAAAATGTGTTTTGTTCCTGAGTTCTTCACAGCATCTCCCTGCCTGAAGGGCATCACTTTGACCTGGATTGGGTATCTGACCAGTAGAGCAGGAAGGTTTCAAAATAGCCCCTGGGGCAGTGAGGAAAAAAAAGTATTACTTGCTGGTTTTAAGATGAAGTTCATTAATTTTGGAGGGGATTATATGACAGGATTTCTGGGATAATGGATGACAGGACTAAATGATCCAAAAGATTGCTTCCAGTCCTACATTCCAATACCTGCATTTAATTCCTGCCAAGACAGGACTGAACTTTGCGGGACCATGAAAGAAGAACCCCAAAGAGGAGTGGCAAGCACCTGTTGCACACCTGAATGCCACAGGAGAAGCTGCAGCAGCGGTGGCCATTTATTCTTCCTACACAATACCAACCCATCAGCTGCATCTTAGCACCCTGTCAAAAGCTACAGAGAGATGTGGAGGAATCTGCATCAATGTCTTGCTCACATCTGTGACTTAAAAGAAGTTGTTTTTGCCTGATATTGACACATCGTCTGTTGAAGGTTCCCGCTCTTCTAATTATTTTGCCCCCCAAATGGCAATTTCTTTAAGGTTTGGTGGAGTTTGCTCGACACGCAGGAATACAGCTGAGCTCCTCAAGCAACGTGCTAGATGTGCTTTTTTCAGAGGAGGCACGAGAGAGGGTTCACTTGGTCTTAATTGCCTTTTGTCAGGCACAAAAGGCTCTTACCCCGTGTCCCAGGTTCACAACCAGTCTTTTCCAGGGCTCCTGTCCATTAGTCTGCGTGACAGGCCAAAAGGCAGTGAAGGGTGGCAGGCTGGATAATGCGATTTTAAATGAGGCAGGATTTTCTCTCTTAGCTAGTTCCATATGGATTGGATTGGACTTATCAGCAGCGTGTGCTGACAGCCGCTCGGCGCGCGGTGCTGAGCTCCGATGGCTGCTCTGATTAACCAGTTACAGCAAGAATAATCCCGGCATACCTTGGCTCCGATCGGTTGATACAGCACAACTTTAGTTTGCATTCCGGCTTAGACAAAGAGCTTGCACAGCCAAATAACTTAAAGTGGGATAGAAAAGTTGCCACTTATCACCCTGCTCGGGGGCGAAGGCAGGTGCATGCATTCCTATCACGGAGCGCTCCTCTGCTTATCCCTCCTCCACGGAGCCTAAGCAATCTCAATTACCTGGCATTTCCCAGGATGTTCTGCAGGGTAACAAAGTTTTCAGCCTGTCAAAGGTCTAATTTCTTTTTCCACTTGCCCCTCGCACAGCAAATGCTCCGTTCTCTTCCTGAGTTTACCTGATTGCCTCGGAATTAAATCGAATTGCAAAGAGGAGCCCTGCTCTCCCCCAGACAAGTGTCTTTGGAGGGACGGCTTGCAGAGGAAGAGGCATCTCGCAGCTCCTTTGCAGCAGATTGTAGAGGTCAGATCGAACTTTCTGATAGGGATTTATGCGTTTCCTATCTGATTGTGGCACAGTTCCAGTGCTGGGAGCTGGAGACGGGCACTGAAACGGGTATTTCGCATGTTACGCATGTAAAGCCAAAGGCCTTGGGTTGCTTTGGCAGAAGGCTCCTCTCATGTTTCCATAGGAACATAAGGGGAATTAAAGACTTTCAGCACACAGCTCGAAGTTCAATCTCACAGCTACTGAGAGAAAACATCTGCTGCCACTAACTAGGTGGTGTTGCAGGTCCAAATTTTAAGCGCCGAGTTACAAAATAGATGCAGTAGGAAATCATGTTGGTTCCTCTTGAGTAGTCTACGATCCCGTAAGGAACGAGGGCTGCGTCACCATGTGCATTGCACCAGTGAGCTGTGCTGGTAGAAAGCTGGGATGCGATGACATTTGCTTGAAATGTCAGGACCTTGTGGTGTGAGAAAGTGACAGTGCAACGTGCCACTGCAAATCCTGGAACACAATGACGCTGTTCTAAAAAATAAACCTCTACAAGTGATTGCATTGCACGTATGGCTCTACTTGGAAAAATAAAAAAAAAAGAAAGGGTGGGGAGAACCCTTTTAAGTGAAAAAATAGGTACTAAAGGAATCCAGATTCAGAGCTTTCTTGTCAGGCTGGATGCTGAATAACTGGGTGATAAAATGGCAGATGAAAATCAATGTCAATAAGTACAGAGGAATTCACAGGGGAAGGAGTAAGTCTAACTACCCATATGCAATGACAAGCTGTAAAATAGCTCACAGGAAAAAAAAAAAAAAAAGGTGGAATTCCTGTGCAAGTTTTCTGCAAGGATCAGCTTGGGGCTCTGCAGTGGTCAAGAAAGGGGCTAGAGGACAGGAATGGATTAGGAAAGGCAGAAAGAGAAGAACAACAAATGCTCTTCTGGTCTTAAAAAGACAAAACTTTTTCATGCTGGGGCTAAACGAGTCGTGGAAATTAGCACAGGATGTCTTCAAAGAAAAAGAATGGCTGCTCAGCGAGGTTTCTCGACAAATTGATGGTGGCATCTAAGCACGGGTCCAGGTGCAACTTCGTTAGAAAGCTCTTCAGAAATGTCAATGACCAGAGTGTTAGCAGGGAAGGTCACTGTTGCTGCCCCTTTCCCTATGCGTCTTTTCTGGCCACAGTAAGAAGCAAGATATTTTGTTCAATCAGCCTCTGGTCCTCCCTGAAATAGCCCTTCTGTTAGTATTTGACGATACAAATTCTAAGTGCTCGTGGAAGGCTGAGTTTCTTATAATTCTGTCAAACCCGAGAACACTTAGCGAGCAACTGAGATTTTGTTTACACATTCAGCAGGACGCAGCGAAGGAAGCAATCTGTCCCCAAATCAATTACTGCATTTTGCATTGTTTTTGCCGTGCTAAATGAAGGAGACACCCCCGGCCTCAGCCCTGTCCTTTCTGAAACCATCTTCCTATTGTATAGACTTGTCACTGCCGTCTCTCTTAATTGCAGGCTCCTTGGTAATTTCTCTGCCACAACATTTTTCCCAAGGAGAGCCACTGGTGAGTACTCAGATGAAAACAAATGCTCTGACAAGCTGGAGTTTTAATTTTTCTTTAGATTGCTTGTAGAAGACGATCGTTATTAGCAGATGATAATTAGAAAGTGGTAACACTTTAATTTGCAAGGATGCATTGAAATTCGTTAGCGTCTGAAGGCTTTGCTGAGCTCTGTGGCAAATGAACGCAAGGATCAGACTGGCTCCTAACAGCTATGATAAACGCTACGATCAAACAATTGCCCCTGCTATTTCTTCTGTCGATCTGCCTCTCCTGTATTTGTATAGCCTACCTTTAGCAGAGAAGCCAAAGATAGGGGAAGAATGAAATTCCAGGGGTGGCTTTTATCTGTCCTAATGTCTTGTGTAGGTCAAAAAGGATTTTTCTCTCTCCAAGACAAGGACCACTTCGGAGAAATTATCCCCTCTGAGCTGGTGGGAGGTGAGGTGGGAACTGGAAGAGGTGACCAATGTTATGGGGAAGAGGCTCCTGCTCATAAAATGGAGAATCATCCTGAGCAGGGATAGCTGGGGGGGCTGTGTCCCTCAGGCTCTGTCACCAGGAAGAGATGGGCACTTCCAGAGGGTGGTTTGTTCAACTCAGACACATGCACAGGCACAGAACAAACCATCCGTCAAGATACAAGTTTCCTTTCATGAAAAGAAGAAGACCAGATCCTTGACTGATCCAAGATGTTAAAGGTAGGCAGAAGCCTATTTTGACACCCCATGATGGATTCTCCAGTTTTTATGAATTGCTGGTAGGATATATCACCTGGCAGGATATATTCCTTCGGTATTTTCCAGCAAGCTGCAAACATCAGCTGATTAAAACATCACGAAAGGGGAGGCAAGACCTTGTTTCCTTACACCTCCTGAACAAGCCGCAAAGATGTTCTTAAAATACATGGTAATTATTGTCAGTTAAAAATTAACTTTAACCTTAAAAACTAGCATCCCATGAAGAGCAGTGATTCTTAAAGAGCCGAACTTTCCGAGTCCTGCCTTGGCCGGCTGATATTTCTATAGCTGCAGAACCATTTTCTGATTTCCCCTGGCCCTTCACTTTACCTGCCAAGAGAGGGGAGCAGAGGGTAGCCTGAGAACTACTGGCTACTTGTGCAATAAGTCATGTTTATTTTGAACTCTTATGCAATACAGTCACACGAAGAAAGCAATTGCTGGATGTTTCTGCTAGGATGCACTGCAGTGACGGTGTAAACAATGCTGACATTACACCGTCAGTGTGAGTTTTCACTGTTAATCATTTATGGAGGCGAATGGGAAGGGAGTCGCACCTGCCAAAGCTTTTGTCTCAGCAGACTTTGCAAACTCGGGCTAGGACCAGATCAGGATATGCTGTTTGTGAGCTTTCTATCAGGGGTGTGGGCTCTTGGATGATTATTTTCTTGTTGCCATATTGCTTCGTGTCATTTCCTCTTTCACTCTCAATTTACTCCTGTTCTGTGAAATTTCTGAGCGATGAGGAACGAATGCATGCATTTTGCTGCGGTATGATTGAGGTGGAAGAACAGCCTCCTGAGAGCCTGAATTGCCAACAAGAAGGATTTCAGCGCTGAAAGCTTTGAACTCCAGAGCTCTGTTTCCCATAGTGAATGCAGAAACATAATTCAGCTAAACCTCGCAACCTCCACCTGTGTAGGGAAATGAATAATATTCCTCTTATCTTGTACAAGGGAGAATGGAGGTCCAACAATTTTTTTTTTTTTTTTTTTTTTTGGACTGGTCGAACATCAAAGGGGTATAGAAAATTGGATTACAGATTTCTGGATTCCCTGATCTCATGACTCATCTGCTAGCCTGTCTGAATCTCTCTGCCCGAGTCACTTAATTTTCTTTTCACTCAGCCCTCTCATTTCAGCGAGACAATTTCTACTCTGCCCACAGGTAGCCATTCCCTTTCCACATCTGTGTCTCTGGCAATACTTCATCCCAGTGTAATGGTCACCTCATGGGAGTCTGGAGTGCCTGGAACCCATGCTGGGTGCTTTGAATATTACGGGGGTAGCAGTTTGGCCTTCAGTGCTCTTTGGCACAGAGCAGGTCTCCCAAGGCAATTTCTTCTGCATCCTGCCAGCAAACAACTAGCTCACATGTAACAACAACAACAACGATCAGCAGAGCTGACATAAAAGGTCACTAAATCGGTTTGGATTTCTTGGATTCAGTAACCATAATGTCATCTCTATGTCAAGAAAAATAACTTCCGCAGAAATCTAGCCAGGAAGAGAAACAACAGCTCAGCTGCCTTCATCCTGCCTGCTCCTTGGGAAGTAACTTGTTAGAGAATCCCTGGGTTTTGTCGAGGAGCTGCTTTACAAAGAGCTTGGGATGGGCTTGGAAATTGCTACGGTAAGGAAGGAGGGAGTTACCGCTCCCAGATGCAAGGAAAAAGGAAGCCAACAGCACACTGATGCTCAAGCCAAGAACCTAAAAATAACTCCCCACGATCCTAACAACTGGGCAAGAAGATGCAGAGCACAGCAGGCAAAAACGCCACATTTCTAACAGCATTCCTGCACGGGGGCTCTTCCCTCCTCTCTTCACAAACACTGCAGAAGGTGTGTGTACCAACAGTATCTTCCACCCCAGCTTTACACCCTCTGTGTGTTTTTTTTCGGAGGAGCTGTGGACAGCTGGGAGGAACGACATCCTCCATATGCAGGGCTTGTTACCTTGAGATTGCCAGACTGAAGTCTTGGCTACACGCAGGACTGCATATGTTTGGCTAAACCTGTTTTGAACAATTTAGTTCACAGCCATGAAGGCTGTGTGATGCTTTTATTCTGATTTGGCTGTGCTTTTATCAAATATAAGTAAGCTAATCAGGAGAGAGGTGAAGTCATACTGAATTAGATAATTCCTATATCAAAATTAGCATCCACCCTGATGATGCAAGATTTAAGTTAGATGCCACATTGCCTCATGTCAATGTATAAACCTGAATTTTATGTATCTCTGAGCTATCTGCAAGTTTTGTTGGTATTTTACATACAGCAATGCTAATAGTGGTTTTTTTTATTATTATTATTTATTTATTTTTTATGCCAAGAGAGCCTCAATGAACTGAACATAAGCAAATCCTACCCAGAGGGGTAAGGACAAAACACTGTTATTTGGTAAGGAGCAGAAGTAGTTAAGTGGGCATAAAATTGATGGGTGGATTTATTTTGTTGCTCTTTGCACGTTTCCATTTCTACATGCCTCTGGCTTGGCACTTGTCCCAGCCACTCCATGTGAAGACCAAGACTGTCTGAGAGTGAGATGCATCTACAAATACCTGAAAGGAAACTGTGGGGAACTGGGGGTCAGCCTCTGCTCACAGATAATGAGTGATAGGACCAGAGGGAACGGCCTCGAGTTGTGCCAGGGGAGGTTCAGGTTGTCAATGAGGAGACATTTCTGCTCAGCAAGAGCGGTCAGGCCTTGGGACGGGTTGCCCAGGGAGGTGGGGGAGTCCCCGTCCCTGGGGGTGTTCAAGGAGAGGTTGGACGTGGTGCTTGGGGACAGGGCTTGGTGGTGACATTGGTGGTAGGGGGGTGGTTGGACCAGATGATCTTGGAGGGCTTTTCCAACCTTAATGATTCTACAGTTCTGTATTTCCAAAGATGAGCCCTTAGGACGTGCTTGTGGGTTGGCTTGGGAAGGCCTGCAAAGTCCTGGGGCATTTTCTGATAGGAAAGGAGAGCCGTCCCCACCATTACTAAACAAATCCCTGTCAAAAAGATCCCAAAAAGCCTGTGGAGAAGAAATCTCACCCCTGGGATTTGTAAGGGTAGCGTCGGTGCCTTTGCCTCCGTCTCCGCAGCGGGTATCGTCGAACGGGAGGCACTGATCTCCGGTTCCAGCCAACACCTCTGAATTCTTCACAATGTCCTTCACTGATGTGGTTGACTTGATTTTGTAGATACGTCGGCTGTTGGTGTCAGAGAGGTAGATGGAGCCGGTGATTGGATCTGTGGTCAAGTAATACTTATGAGCTGGGCTGTGGCTGAAAAACAAGGGTATAACGTTATTATTATTATTATTACTCGGATGATTTGTTTCCTTACAGCAACAAGCAATATAAGAGCTTCAGAGGAGAAAAATGCACGGGGCAGACAGACTGGGAAAGTGCAGCAGTGCTGTATTTGCAGCCTCGGCAGAGACGTGTTAACACAGCAGGTTTCTGAGCTATGTCTGTTACCAGTCGCTGTGCTGGGAGCACTCTCTGGCATGGAGGCCAGCTGCCAAAGGAAAGGGCTCGCTGGCCAAACTCATGCCAGGAACTGCTACAGCTTGAGTTCCAATGCCTGGGGTTAATTTATTTAACATGGACATAGCCCTGAAACTGGTGTTAGTGCAGTGCCAGACAGTGAAGGGAAAGCACAGGACACTAAACCTAGAAAACAAAGTGAAAAATAAACACAGCTGGCCTCCCGAGAAGGACCCCAGGACAAAAACCCCAAAGCAAACCAAGTGTAAAGCCCTTGAAGATGTACTCTTGAAGATCACTGCACTGGGGCTCAGCTGGTGTTCCTGCATATAAATCCCACTGACTTCAGCAAAGACCCCAGAGTCCTATCCTGTCCTGGTGGAGATAAAATGTTTGCTGCCACTGGATTCAGCTGGGTCTCAGTGAAGACAGAAACAAAACGGTCCTTGGAGCATCACGTTTTGCCCTAAGTAACAACACGAACTAGGAGAAGGTCTCAGGGATCTGAATGTCAGTCCCCTGTTAAACCTCGTTAACTCACTGCTTCCTTGAACCCAAGAAAGGGTGGCTGAGAAAATGGTGTGAGCAGACAGAAAGATAATTTTTTAGTTCCCTGGCCACAGCACTAAGTGAGCCAAAGACTAAAGAAATGGATAAACCAGCATCTGTTTTAGGAACCTGATGAATTTAGACACAATTTGAAGATCTTTTTCTTTGAAGGATTCTATCTATGGCTTGGTAAGTCTTTATTTTCTTGAAATTAAGTGTGCACTACCAGCATGTATCGAGCTGCATCTGCTCAGCCTGAAACTAACAGATGAAACGTGTGGCACCTGGTGCCTGAAAACACAGCTCCTTCCTTCTCAGAAAGGCTAAGTCATAATTAGAAGAAATATGAAAAATTCTCTCCTTTTCTACAGAACACCTCAAAAATGTCCAAACCCATCAGCTAGCTAGAATTCATAATAAATGTACGGGCCATAGTTCAACGTTTTGCACTTAGTGCGATGTTCCAGGAGAAGCTGCTTAGAAAGCCAAATGTCAATCACAGTTAACTCTGTCCCCCGTATTAAGAAATTTCCTCCCTCCTTCAACCTTTATGTTAGGAAAATTAACCCCTCTTCAGGCACATAAAACCCACTGAATTATTGTCAGGTTTAAAAAGCAGTAAGTTGGTTCTTCATTCAAATCGCTTAATACTTGGGGGGGGGGGAGAAGAAAAAAAAAAACCTTTCTGATTTATTCTAGAATATCCCCTGTGATTTATCCTATTAAAGTCTGAACAGATTTCATCTCCACAAATGACACTGATTCTTGCTAAATAAAATGCTCTGACCTTCAAGACAGCTCCAGCCTGACAGTTCAGTCTCCATCTGTATTCCCTCCCAATGACAGCAGGCTGGGAGGGCATTATTTCATTTACCTGCATGTCACTCACACTAAGCAAGTGGCTTCAGCCCTGGTGGAAGAAGTTCCCGGTGGGAATCCATCCTCCATCCTGATCAGGGCCTCGCATTTTCCGCCGACTGTCCTAACAAAGCTTGGCTGAATGGCATCAGTCAGCTTTGGAGCTGTTCCTAATCTGTTTTGCACAGGAGGTGGACAAAAGGAGGACGTTTTTAATGGCACTTTGCAATTCTTTAGCATCCTGGAAAGTGCAGATAGCTCTCGCTGAGTCTTACAGCAGGCCATGTGAAGATGGGCAAACTCAAATGATTTCTCTAAGATGGAAAAAAATGGTTGTAGAACTGAGGGTCCCTGCTTCCCCTTCCCAGCACTATCATTGTAATTTATTTTTGGATTTCACAGCCTCACTCTGGTGGACTTTTTGTTGAATACAACCTGTGAAGGAGAGAGATCTTAAACTCTTTTCTAATTCCAGCTCCTGTGTAGAATGAGTGCTGAAGTGAATACCGGTGTCCTTTAACCACCGATCACAGAACCAGGTACAAGTGAAATAACCATCCAGCAGAAAAGCTCAGCGGCCCTTCCTACCTGAATTATGTAAAAATGTTGCATTAACCTAACACTTGGAGTAGCTGCTGGTATCCCAAGGTTAGTTAATGTGCTCCTGAACATAGACTCCTCAAAAAAGTTAGGAGTGAATTCACAGTTTGCATCATTATGCATTTATAATTTAAAAAATGAGCTCTGAGTGGTTATTTAATCCTTTGCATAGCTGGATACCACAGAGACACACATATCTTTACTAGCAAATGTACCTTGGAAGAGGTGGAGAGAGAAACTTCTGTTTATTAACCTACCTATGGGACAGAAATAATCTCGGGTCACTTAAAACCTATTCTGGATTTCAGCTGGTGAGCTGATAGTGAAATCCTATTGCACGATTGCCTTTCTAAATCTGATGTTATTAACGGTACGGGCAGCCCCAAGACAAGCTCTGCCTTTTCAGTCGTGTGAGCAATAGGAAGCAGTAGCTCGTTTTTATCAACTAGACTTATTTTTACTAGCTTGGCTTATCATGGTCTCCTACTCACTGCTCCATGCGCGGGGCTTTTGTGTGTGGGAAGGCTTCCTTGGATGGCTTACGTGATGGAGTATTTAAGCTGGAGTGCTTTGGAGCAGGGCTGCTCAAATGCAAACTGTGAAAAATGAACAAGCTGCAGTTTTACCCCACCAGCTTTGGCCAACAGTTTTCACCACTGTACAGGGAAGGTGTCGTGTTCTGCCCTCGCATGAACCGCAAAGTGTTAGATGCTGGAGCTTTTGTTTAACACTTTGAGATCCTTCAGGATGAGAGATGCTAAATAAACATACTGTGAAAGTACTATAAAAAAAAAATAAATTAAAAATCTGTAAAAGTTCCCAACCTGCTTCCCTTCATCTGTGATAACGCATGAGCACTGGAGCCAGGAACACGGAGGCTTTGCTTTTTATTTAAAGTCACAATCAGAAGGCAAATCCAAGTGGCAATTTGGACTGAGCTGAGCAACAACTGAAATAAATCTGCCTGGGGCAAAGCAGAGAAGATTTTTGGGCTTGTTTTCTTTCATCCCCTCTCATTGCTCAGTTAGATAAAGGAGCAAAACAAAAGACGGGATTTTTTACTGTTCAGAAGACAATCAGTTACAGTTTTTGTAGCCTTAGAGTATTTATCCCCCATATTGAGATTGCCACCACTGGAAACGGGCCGTGGAGGGAGAGAGCTGATTTCCTATTCAGATTATTCCTTTTGCTATTAGGATTTTTTTAGAAGAAACTCTGAGCACTGCATTGATATTTTAATTCCCCGGAGCAACAAAACAAAGTTGCTGGGATGGGGTGGGCTGATCCCTAGCTGAAAACAGGCTTTTTAGTGGGTAATAGCAGGCACAATGGTGTAATCACTGGGAACAGTCTCATAAGCAGAAGTTATGAGAAGTTAACCAAAGTTAAACGAAGGTGAAATGACTTTCCTATATACTTGATGTGCTGGGAAAGCACAAGGAAATCTTTCAAAGTCACAGTGACCCAAGTGAGTTGGGGTTGCGTATAGGCTGTCCCATTCATCTGCCTTGTCCCCTTCCTTTTTTCATTCTCATTCTTAGGACAGGATAGTGCCAGCACCATCTGGGGAGCTCTGCAGATAGCTTAAGGGATTCCAACTCCATTTTAAAGTGCTTTTTGCCTTACATGATTCCTAGCACACAGGCATGAGGAAGGAAAGTGATAAAAAATGGGGTGAATAGGCAGACGTGGCACTCATCTGGATTCCTTCTGTAGTACAACGATAGGTGTAGAGCAAAGGTTGTCATCATACCCTTGGGTGCAAAGCCCATGGTCTGCAGGAGCCTCCTGCTCCAGCATGGGAAGCCAGTCTTTAAGGTATAAAGCTGGGAAAGAGGAGATGGTCCCTGGATTGAGCAGGTTACCTATGTCAGCACAGCAGCCTGCACCTTTTTGTTGGTTTCTGTTCATCCCACTGAGCTTCAGATGTCTGCAAGGCAGATGCTTACAGACCAACCAGCTGCCTTAACTCCTTTAACAGCTGATGGAGAGAAATAGCAACTTTTGAGGTACGATTCATCTAACATTTTCACCATTTGTTTTACGGGATGACCTCCATCTTAGTCTTTCAGATGCGAGGCCATCTCCTACCTCCTCTAAAGGACAACTGCTGCTAATGGTAGCAACGTGGCTCTGAGGTCAACTGAGAGGAGCAGTCACAACACCCAAATTAGTTATCCATAACAGCTGATCTGAAGACATCTCCGGTGCTTTTTTGGATCTGATGCCTTCGTTTCAAGCACATGAAATCACCTCCGTAACACTTTCTGTGCTGGCTGCCCTCTTCCCCTCTGAGCCTCGCTGGCCACATGCATTTGCTGGTGACTAAAGAACTGCTGAATTCCTGCAGCCAAGAGTTTTTGTTCAGAGGGGCTGTTTCCATGGCTCCATGCTAAGCACCCTGCAGCTCGCAAACAGAGGATTTTATTATAGCTTGTGTGAGGTACTGATCTTTTTTTTTTCTTTTTTTTTTTTTTTTTTTTCTTTCCCTGGGTGACATTCAATAGATTAGCGCATAAGGAGGCCACACAGTGCAGTGAGCTGAATTTACACTTGGCCTTTTAGTGTTTTCAGTTTGTGTGCAATGCCCAAAGCTCTTCTGGTGTCGCAGGCTGGGTAATAAAACTTCATAGCAATGCTGTAAGCCAGCCCACGGACTGCAAAGGACTTTTGATCTGAACCTAGGGCAGTTTCTCAGGCATCTCTTTTTGCCACTAATTGTAGATTTGTCTTTCTGAGGTATGGATGGAAACAACAAAGGAAGAATATGTTTAAGTATGGCCACTTTTTGCACATCTGCAAGACGGAAATGCCTCACTGCCCTCCATGTTCCTGCAGAGAAAAGGTAATGCCAATTAACTGCAAATTATTATTGCCATGCTTGGAAAAGGTCTTTAGGTTCTGTTGGTCCACCAAGACAGGTCCATACACATAGACATATGGGAATAAGTTCATACTCATCTACTATTGAATGACAGATGGGGGAAAAATGGGATGCATTGCTATTTCACGATGATTTCTGGGTTAGCTGATGTTTCTGTGTTGGCCCACAGCCTTTTTGGCTGTTACAGAGATGGATCTCAGCTACCTATGCTGCGCTGTAGAGCTAAGCCTCTTGGTCGGTAGCTCTAGCACCTCTGGAGAACAAGCTCCAGAGATCCTTCTCCCTGAAACAAGGAAGCTTTTGCATATGGATTGCAGCTTTTCCAAACCACCGAGGTTTGCTCCTTTGGATCTCACCCACTGCAATTATTGCCTGCCAATAATGTCAAGGTTTGGGCCCTCTGGAGCTCAAAGCTAGGACTACACCCACTCATTTCTTCGTGGCTCAGGGATGAACAGGCTTCCTAACATGATGTGCTATGGCAAATGACACACAACAGCTGCTAACTCACATAGATGAGACCTTTAATGTAGTCTCAGATGGGAATATGCAATCTAGAGCTCCTCGTCTCTTCCTCCACCCTTACTGGTTCCCTTTAGACTGCATTGGAGTAGAAATGCCTTGGCTTGCCTTCATTTCATTTCTTATTTTTCAGGAATTGCCTACAGGCTGAAGCCCTGCCAACTTCCTATAACTCTGGTGGCATCTGCAGCATTTGTGGCCAGTCCGTATATCTTGACTCAGTGATTGCCTTCACATATAAAAACTCTTCTTGTAACAGCTCTTCAGCTGCTGCCCTTCACTGTCAAAGCAGGTGCACTTTAGTGGCTGTGTATTTCTAGGTCATTAAGGATACAACCTGGCTGATCCAAAGAGAAATGAGTTTTTCTGTTGCCTTCGAATGATGTGAAAGAGAAGCTGGGGTCTGGAACTCAGCCTGATGAAGACAGCCAGTGCAAAGGTCTTGTGTACCAACCTCCCAGCCCAACTAATAGACCCCTTGGGCCAGTTCATTATACAGGGGAAGCTCAGCCTTTCATTAATGTTTTGGCAATAAGACAAAAAAACACTTTCTACTCTATTGCATTTCCAGGCATGCAGATAAAATGAACATTTCTGGTTTTGCACAGCCTCTATAAAATCAAAGAAACAGTAAATAAAAAGCACGTAGCACAAAAAATCCCCAATCCCAAATGCAAAAAGAAAACTAAACCAAAAAAAAAAACTAACTCCACAGTCTAAGCTTCTAATTTAGAAAGCATCTGGGGAGAAGGATGGGAAACTTGTCAGAGCCAGAGAAGTCCTTGCAAACACAGGCAGTGACAGGAGGTTGACATCTTCCTGAATGCAACTGATTGGATCAAACCCACTGCAACTCCAATGAACCCGAGTGACAAATATTCTTAGTGACAAAGCTCCAATTTAGGAGTCTGTCTTTAATGTTGTTTTCTTGTCATTACTCTTTTTCTTTTTTTTTTTTTATTGCATTTCCTGGCTAAGGTTCCAAGTTGCACTACCTCCTATCTGAGCCTGACACACTTTCACAAAATGCAAAGGCTCTCTCTGAAGAGCGTAAGCCGACAGAGTTACAAAACCTTAGTTCCCTAGATGAATGATGCCAGGGTACATCTGGCCCTTCATTTTGTCCGTTGCACTCCCCAAAACTCAAAGGGAAGACACTTCACCCCATGAAGATTATTTCTCCATCAAAGTTCTCCAAGAGACCTGTATCCTGGCGGTGCCTTCTCTTTAGGTGCTGAATTCCCACCCGCTTTTCCTTCCACCCTCCTCCTCCTGTTACCCTGCTTCTCGTGCCTATCTTTCCTCTGTCTGCAACTGCAACTGATCATGCAGAAGTCTGTGCGATTCTGCTCGGTGATTAATGGCTTCCCGTTCTGATGACTGATCGCCTACGCCAGTTTTAATCACACCAGCTTCATTTCCTCTTGAATCATCTGGAAATGGCACTCATGGCTTACTGTGTAACAACATGCAACAAGACAGGGAGCAGCAGAAGAATTCTCCACTGGTTGGCTTACCTATGTCTGAAATCTTTATTTCTGACAGAAGACAGGAAAGCAGGGAATAGAAGAAAGAATGAGGTGTTAGCGGCTCAGTTTGAAGCATTATTAGCAGATTGAAAACTTGACAGTAACTGTATCATACAATGCAATAATAAATAAAGACTTAGCTGGAATGACACTGATATATTTTATATTGGATATTACTTGTCAGTGAGCTCACTTATGTATCGCTGCATATCACAAAGGAAGTGTGATCTCACCTGCTTGGAGTTATCCACTTATGCAAAAGATAGGACCAGGCAGACTTTATCATACAGAGCAGTGCCAAGCTAAATATATGTAGATGCAGATATCTTCACGGCTTTTTTCACTATCCTCAAAGCAATACTTTGTGATTTGCAAAGATAACTTAACAGTTGCATAGTTGTGGGTGGCAGTTCATTGCTGTAAACTCATGAACTCCAGCCCAGAAGACTGAAATTATGCCGAGCTGGCCATTTTTCATGGGGCTGGTTATACCCATGCTGCAGTTATCTGTGACCCACAATGCATTTGCTTTCCTCTCTGCAACAGAACGCTACACTCTAAAAAAAAAAAAATAAATAAAAAAAAAGGAAAAAAAATCCAACCCCAAAGCCAAATCATGAGGGTGTTAATCTCTGCAGAGATGCTGATTTGAGAAGACACAAGCAAACTCCATTTAGTACAAAAGCAATGGCTTTCCTCCCCAGCTTTTAGTCAGCCTGCATCTGAACTCGCTTACTTTATAGCACACCAAAGTGAAGAAATGTTTATTAGATCCAGTAACCTAAGTGTTTGCACAGATGAAGCAGCAATCGTTCCAGCAGATTTAAATCTGGAGTAAATTTAACTTTGTGGCTCTGCGCAAAAGCCAGCAAGGCCACTCTGTCAAGGCTTCCAATTTTCTCTTTTCCAGTCAGGAAATACTCTGCAAAACCTCCGCTGGGTCTGGTATTTCCACTGACAATGAAACAGGGATCGGGTTTTCAAAATTGTACTTCAGGGAATGAGATATTAATCCCAGCGAGTTGCAGTGGGATTTGGGCCCCAAATCACCTAGGCTCTTCTGGAAATCTCACCTTTGGTCATTAAAATAACTTTCTGGCACTGGAAGAATATTATACTCTTTAATGTGGACCAGCACAGAAGATTTATCCCATCTTCTTCCCTTATAAATACGAGAGAGATTATGTATTTGTATATCAAATAAATGAACAGCAGGAATCAGCTTTTCACTTATTTACTCAAAAGGTACTCCAGCCCTCTGGGATGTGACTGTACACATGTCACTGTGGGCTTCCTCACACAATGAATCCTGATTTTGTGGTCTTTCTGTGGGCAGAGCAAGACACCTATTCTGTAAGTGTCAGCCTTGTGTTAGCTGTCTGGATTTTTTTCTCATATTCCATGATCTACAGTGACAGTTCTGCATGCCAAATCAGGCCTTCAGCAAAGTCTTGCAGACCTAATGCCTATGGTGTGTTTGTAAATGAGGGACTAAAAGGATCCTAGAAACCGATTCTGCTGCAGTTCAGCCCTTCCATTTTCCACCTGTGGCCTCGTGGAGCAAATGCAAATACAAAATGCTGTATGGGATCCTGCTGCTCTAGTAAGCTGTAATGGGGCCTTCTGCATGGCAGTCCTGGCAGAAATGGGGCCTTACTTTTGTCCCCAGAAGACAGGTTGTTAAAGCTGAGTATAGTGGGGAGATTTTTACTTTCTTTCTCTTTCAGGCCAGACCTTGAGAGCTAAATGGGAATGCGAACCATCCTACAATGCTAACTTCATATTGAGCTCTCAGGACTTTAGGCCTGGTCTTTCAAGCAGAGAGATCTCCTTCAGAAACACTGGTTTAACTCCAGTGATGTTCCTGGGGTGAGTCTCATCTGGCCACATGAAGGGTCCAGAAGCAGGCTGTGGTGCATCGAAGTGGGTGTTTTTGTTGTGGAAATTTTGCAAATGAAAAATATCACCATGGAGGTCAATATGAAATTTTGTTTCGGTCACAATCTATTTAATTTCCTCAGAACTTGTGATAAATTTGTAATGTTCCCTCCCCTTCCTTATTTTTAATGGATGTTCCTTAACAAGCCTCACTATTTCTCCTTATATATTTTTTTTCCTTTGTTATTTAGGGTAAAAGGAAATGCTTCACTCGTTTTAAGATGATCCATCTACATTCTCACCCTGACACAGCTGTTCAGTTGGAGACTGCAGGGAACTGATACGTGTTTGTCCCTCAAAAACAACTAAAAAAGCCCTGAATCTGTGACTCCCTCGGTGATCATCCTGTCTTAAGTATGAATGATCATCTGTCCTGATTAACCTCTACATATTGTCATCAGTGCTGTGTCCTTCCAAGTGTAGGTTATCCCGGAGGCTGGTTGTTAATTTTAAGAATTCCCACTGGTCTCTAACTAGACTGAAGGGGAGACATTAACACAGTTTGATTCAGCAGCACAAAAATGTGACAATATTTTTGGTATATGACTCAATTCTGGAAGAAATCTTGCTAGGCCGATGTTTCTCTGGTGTAAGTCAAAATCAGCAGAGTTGCAGAAGAGGCAAATCTCGGCAGCTCTTTTTTTTATTTTTTTATTTTCTGTTTTAGTGTTTCTTATTAAAAGTTTTGCTCATTTTGGTTATGCAAGATTTATGCAGAATGTAATGGCATAATTATAACAGCCACATGCAGCACAGTGTACCTTAACTCCAGTATGTTGGTGACATTGCCAGAGGGAAAGATTCTTCGGATGTAGTTGAAATCTCCGACGTAAAGACTTCCATCAGACCCACATGTTAGGGCAACAGGAGCCAGGAGCTTGTTCCCATCTGCAAGCCCATTGCAGCTTGGACAAGAAATGCTACGTCTACGGCCATTGCCCATAATACTTCCAATTACAGGCGGCTGCTGGGAAATAAACTGGTTTTCCCCATTTCCTTTGTGCAAGATGCCTAGACAGAAAAAAAAAACAGTAATAAGGAAATTAAGGTTAACACAATGGCACTGCAGGATACCAGCTGGGGAACCTATCCAGTGGCAAGGGGGTGTATCATCCTTCCTAGTATTTTTTGTGATGGTTTCAAGGAGGGCCCCCTTATTTGAAGTAAGCTTTTTTTTTTACAGCCCCATTACATTTCTTGCAAAATAGAAGTATATAGGGAGAACAAGACCGTCTTTGCTTTTGAATGAAATACACTTTTCAGCATCTCATGAATTTTCACCTTCCTTTTCTGTCCCTCTTTGCCCTGTAATTTGCAGCCTACCAGGGAAAAAAAAATCACATAGCTCATGAAAAGATAAGAGACAAGAAAACCATGGTGCACTCTCTAGAGAAATGTTTCATCTGCAAAGCTCAGAGGAGCTCTGCTTAAGTTCCTTATAAGTTTTCAGCAGTGGTGTGGGATGAATTTAGATGTTTGCTCCCATACCACTGCTATCATTCAGAGAGAGACAGCGCTTCCATCCTTTGAATGTATTCAGTGGAGGCTGATCAGCCTCCAAACCTTCCTTATGCAGTCCTGAGCTCCCTTCAAGGACTCTGGCACCTTCCATTTTCCTTTATAACCCGCAAAACCTCTCATTTCTGCAAGTACATTTGCATGCTGCAGGATATGTTTGGGTGGATTTACAGCCAATGGTAGGTCTAATCTGAATACACTGAATTTATTTTTTGAATAAATTCCTTGTTAATCACCTTCTTTTAAGAACAATACAAAGTTAGAGATGCCTATATGTTTTGTGGACATTCATTTGCTTCACCATGGTCAGCTCCTCTTGGGTTTACACACCCAAAATTGCTTCTAAATGTACATTACTATAAATAATTTGTTGGTAGCATATGTGATAGAGTACTTGTGTTGGTCAGGTTTCTTTCCTTTCCTTTTCTTGAATTCTTAATGACGACAAGCAACTGGGCCTTGCAACACAGCATTATTCTCCTGCTATGTGCTACAGTCAACCTACCACTTTGTATGTTGAGGGCATGGTGCTTGTCCAGGGACCATCCTCCAAGTTTGGAAGCGTCAATTTCATAGCCTTGAAGCACAGCCGTCCTCTTCTCCCACAGGATCAAGTCAGGACAGGATTCATACTCATAACCCACTGAAACTGTGAGCAAGAGAGAAACAAAAGGCTCCATAGGTTAGTAATCTGGAAATGCACAATCAGCACACACAGAATTTTAGCTGAGCGGGGGCAAGAACAATTCTACATGCAACTGCCTATTTCATTTAAAATGTCATCATCATAATGTGGAGTCTTAATATTTCCCACTTTAAAGGCCACCCTGCATTTAAAAAGGTCAACACAGTTGTAGATGTTGGGCAAATGTGCTAAATATTTAAAAGGCACTGTTTTAAAGACATATCTTAAAACAATGGCTATTCTAGAGTGTAAAATAATGCTGGGCTCCTAAATGGAAGCATTTTGCTCCTGTCTGCTATCTTTGAGGTAAGACTGCATGTTAGGAATTTGCTTAAAATCATGGCCTTGCTTGGAAAGTAAAGACTTACACAAATGAAGCAAGGGACAGTGAATCCCTCAGAGACAGCAGTCTCACACCAGGTTGACTTGTGGACATTGTTAATGTCAAAAGGGTACACAGCAAAATGCGGTTTGATTTGCCATGATGTCTAATCAGAGTCTTTCAGGAATAACTCTGCTGAATGTACTAGAACTACTTAGGAGTAAAATGATGTCAGTAAAAGGAGAATCACGATTTTGACAGAATAATTATTTTCTCAGAAGCGCAAGACCCAGTTTCATTGGTCTGCTTTTCTTCTGCCCTACCAGATCTTTTCAGTACTAACAGCTGGAGCAGAGCAGAAATGTAAGTTCTGAACAAATGAAAAGCAATTATATAGCTCTTTTTTTTTTTTTTTGCCAGAAAAAGAAGTCTGGTATCCTGAAAAGTGCTGAGCACTAAGTGAACTCAAGATCCCCCATCAAATATCACCCTTTTCAGGTTCACACAGTCTCAGGGGAAGCTGTAGTTCAGGAAATATAGACTTGATATTTTCCACGCTGCTGGTGGAAGCCTGAACGCTGATGTCCTCAGACTTGCTTGTGTACCCTGGGGCTTCAGAGCTGCATCATGGAGTGGTGCATCACCTGTTCATCTAGCATCTTGAAGAGCATGTAAACATAATATTTAAGTATGTGATATGAAGACAAGCTGCTTATTCTGCGCTCCAGACTGTGTAAGGTTCAGCAGGTTGTATCACCCAGCCTACTCAAGGCAGCTGAGTACAAGGAAGACACCTCTTCTCCCTCTTAGAAAACATCTCCTCTGAAAAGACTTATCTTCTGTGGGGCTATAAGGCACCAGGGAACAATCCTTCTATCAACAAGAGCTCTATTTGTTAGTTTGGGATCTCTCCCATGCTGCTAATATCATTGACTTGGCATCCTGAAAGGTCCAGCCTACACACTGCTGAAGACCTATACATAAATTTCCCGTGGTTGTTCATCAGCCAGGAAGGAAAAGCTGCAGAGCAGCATCACCTTATTCACTATACACCCAATATACCCTCTTCCTTCCACCATCATTGCACAGGGCTCTCTAGGTGAGGTCTGGGATGGCAGCAGGGACTGGAAAGAAGTGTGGATCTGTATGGATATTATAACCACAGCACAGCTTCCTGCTGCTGTGAGGACTTCAGGTTCTGTCCCTGCAGAATGGAAGGCATGGGCCATACTGCTTGGTGCTGTGGATGTGGCATGTAGAGTATGCAGAGCCCTTTCATCCTCTGCCCTGCAACTTCTGACAGCCTTTTGCAGATGCAAGTGCTGCATAAGGTACAAAGGAGAAGAGCACGATGCCTAGAGCATCTCAGCTTGGGATGACATTCTTAAAAAGGTAATAAATGGGAAACTAGGAGATCAGGGTAATCCTGAAGGTCAGACAGAAGGAGAGGAAGAGATTAAGACTCAGTTCTAGGGATTTATTTCAAAGAAGTGCTGACAGCTTTCAGCTGTAGGTGAGAGGTAGCCAAATGCCTCTAGTCCCAGTTCATTCCTTCTGCATGGGTATGATGGTAGCAGCTCAGGACGTATGCTGGGCCAAGAGCCAGAGAACAGATAAGCATTCATCTGCTGGGAAAACGCGTGCTATCTGAACAGCTGGGCCCAATCCTCTCCAAGGAAACAGCAGTGAACCAGCAGGGACCATTTTATGTGTTAGCAGTTGGACCATAACAGTCTCCGACAACGTTTGTGCGTTGCCACTTGGCTGCTTCTAAGAAGAGATGCAGGCCCTGGGGTCACTTACCAAAAGCTTCCGAAAGCCCATACACCTTCTGGCTGTAGACGTCTGTCTTATCCCAGATGAAATAATAGGACAGGTCTGGAGCAGCTGCAAACCACTTTCTGAAGAGGCGCCCCTCGACGGCCACCATGAGGTGGACTTTCATGAGGTTGAAGGGGATGGTGGGGTGGGTCATGCTGATCCTCAGGACTGATTTGTAGCCAGCTGTGCGACTGCTCAGGTAACTCACTTTTATTTTACTACCGGAAACGTTAATCTCCTCCTGTAGAGCCTGTGGAAAAGCAATCCAGGAGTGTTAAATCAGCTCCGAGCAGACAGGAAACGGCAGTGAAGCTGCAATTAATCAAACACACCTTTATACATGCTCTGGTAGACACGTCTAAAAAAGCACACCTAGTAGGCATCAATTATGAAATCAGATTTATAATTTATAGAGTTATTTCTGGAAGCCAGGAATGCCTCCTCTTCATCTCTGTTACATCGGAGTGTAAAGTGCCAAGGGTTCTCCATGCATTGGACTATTACCCTCTGTGGCTATTCCATGTAAGCACTTATGACACTAAGGTCAAATTGGAAACTATCAGACAGGATTTTAGAGCTCTGGAGATGATGATAAAGGATTTGGGAGCTCAGACATTTTTTTCTCAATCTTTCCAGGGAGGAGGGAGAATGGGAGGAGGAGGAGACAGATTTTCCAAGCTAATAACTGGCTGCGCCACTGGTGTTGGCAACAGGCTTTTGGTTCCTATGACCATGGGACCCTGTTTAAAGACAACATTGGGATGGGTAGAGAGGGGATCCACCTCACTAAGTGGCACGTGTCTTTGCCAACAGGTTGGCCAAGCCCGTAAAGAGGGCTTTAAACTATGAAAGATTTGAGAAGGTGAGAGTTACAGAGAGGGTAGTCAGCAAACCATGGCTCAAGTTGGGGTGCCTCTTGTGGCAGTGCATCTGGATCACATGGAACATCTTTTTTCACCCCTCCTGCGAAACCTACATGCTCGATTACCTCTCTGAATTGCCCATACAGCGAGACACACAGCATGGTGAATAAACAAGAAGAATTAGAGACCTGTGTGTGGTCACAGGGCTGCAATCAGATTGCAGTTCCGGAGACATGGTGGGACAGCTCGCATGACTGGAATGCTCTCATGGATGGCTACGTGCCTTTGGGGAAAGACAGCCAGGAAGGTGAGGTGGTAGAACTGCTGTCTACGTGAGAGAGCAACTGGAATGTATCAAGCTTGGCGTATGGATGGATGAAGACATGGGTTATGTTGGTAGGAGGGTGATGGTTGGACCAGATGATCTTGATGGTCTCTTCCAACCTTAGTGATTCTAGGATTTTAACAGTGATTCAATAGTTTATCAGTAACTATCTTGTTTAAGCCAGTGTTTACAATGAGACTCGTTGCTAAAAGGAGTTCCTGGACTTATAGCGAAAGGAGCTTGGTGTCTGAGATGACTCCAGCCCAACAGTAAAGCTTCCATTTCTTCTGCTATCTTGATAGGTTTCTGTAGTTGCTAATCTTTGCCTCTTGGCTTTTTCTTCCAATAAAATATCAAGCCCTTGGTATGTCTCTTGTATCCTCAAGGATGTTTCCCATTCTTGCCCATAACCTGCCATTCTCCCATGCCACTAATCATGCTCCCAATCTCTCTGACTCACCCATAACAGTTCTTCCCCTTGACCTCTCTCTCCTTCCCTGTAACTTGTCCTCTCCTACCTCACCTCTGGCCCTCTTTGCCCTGTCTAGCTCTAGCCTCTTTTTTTTTTTTTTCCCCCGTGTCTTGACCCTTATCTTCTGCCTTCACATTTGTTCCTACTTATTCTGGTGCTTGCTCAAAACTCCCTCCCATCTTTCCTATGCGATGAAGCTCTTGGTCTGACCTACCACCATTGACATCTTTCCCCTGCCTTGCCCTCTCCCTTCCCCTCCTTTTCCAAATTCATTAGTATTCCAGGTGAGTTGCTTCATTTTCTCCTCCAGCCACGCAGTGGGGATATTGCTGACTGACTGGGACGTTCACCTCACAGGTCTCCACTCCAGTACAGAATTTCACAGAAGACTGAAGGACAGCAGGGAAAGTTTTGTCTGACCCTGTTCTGCTTTGAGAATAGAGGAGACTCAGTAAAGATGGGATTTTTTTTTTTTTTAGCAGGTAATTTACCTGCTAAAGTATAATCAGATCTTAGCATTATTATTATTTATTTTTAGTTGGAGAAATGCAGGGACATTTTCTGGAAGGCAATACAGCGTACATCCCCTACACCATGCTGATTCTCCTGTGCAAAATGGTGATAAAGAGCATTTCTTTCTCAGTTCTTTTGGGAAAATAAATTAGCTGTTACTTTTCAGAAAATTTCATCCCTAGGTAAGCACCCAACATGGTCACTTTCAGCACAAGCTGGCAACCTTTGGGAAAGTTCGAAAGATGAAGGTAGAAGCTTAGCAGCAAGCCTGAAAACTTGGTCTGATAATGGGATGTGTCAGGAGGTCATAACTAGCTCTGTTCTCTGCTGCACCACTTCTGCAATACTTTCATGTGCTGGACCCAAAATGAGCTATGAAAATACTTCCCCAGCAATAATCAGCTTTCATAATGCTAAGGGCACGGAGGCTGGAAGGCAGGTGGGTCAAGAGATCCTCCCATCAGGAAGGGATCACAGCTGTCCTGGGGCTCTCCAAGCCACTTCTGCGCCTCCCACACTCAATTCCTTCTGTGTGGAAGCAGCAAAATTCCCTGATGTGACAACTTGCTCATCTCTTACAGGTTTTCTAGTTAGAGTTATAAATAACGACAAATGTTGTAATCTGCCCCCTGAAAAGACCTCTTCTAAGCTATTATCCAAGGCCTAACACTTTTTCAAGTGATAACTTACAACCTCTGGGCTTGCAGCACTTGACAAACGGACACATCCAGAAGTTAAAGTGCTGTTCCACTGTGCTCATAAATATTTACTTTCTCTAATGCAGCCTTTTTAATTTACATATCTCAGCGCTTAGGAAGCTGAAAAATGACAGAACTGGGAAAACCCAGGAATTTTAAAATATATTTTCAGAGCTCAGCAACAAGCTGGGCTGGGACCAGGCTCAACCAGAGACCAGCTGAGCCAAGCTGCAGTAAAGGTGGTCCCTTGTATCAAATCTGTCTTCATATGTAACCCCTTTAGGAAAAAGCCAGACAGAAATAATTGTCACTGAGGTACTATTTGCCATGTCTGGTTCAAATCCCTGTCAGAAATAATTATTTCTCTCTGTCATGATCTGTCTCTGCTGTCTACCGTTTCAGAGGAAGGGTCAGCACAGCCGTACTAAGGCACTGAGCAGCACAAGGGATTGTGTTTAAGGGTGCTTCCTTGAAGATCTGGTTCAAATGGTAATTCAGATTATCCGAAATGCATTTGTAGTTTGTAAGCAGAACTAAGCTAGCAACAAAGTAGGGTGGGAGAAGGATAATCTAATAGGACGCTGGTGGGACAAGGGGGAAAAATAAGCTTCAAAATACCCTGAATGCACAAAAAGTAATGATGTGCTTATTTCCCTTTGATAATTGCTGCTTTGCCCAGACAAATTCATATGCTGTGTCCAAGATTAGGGCTCTTGGAGTTTATCACAAACTAAGCAAAAGTGGTCAAGCCACCAGGTCAGGCAGAAGAGCTGGAGCTTCAGACTTATGAGGGATTTTTACCACCTAGCAATTTTCACTGCCTTGTTCCCTTCAAACCTGGGTGTTGATCTATGTTTGCGCTAGCAGCAAATTCTTCCACTCTTTGCATGAGACAGTATAGAAAATATTGTTTCTGTTTGCAGGGTTACATGTTTTTCTTACAGCTACTCTTCACTCTGCCAGTATACACGGCAAGAAACTATCAGTCTTTTTTTTTTTTTTAATGCTCAGGGGGAATTTTGAGAAAGAAAGGCTTTTAGGGCCTGATTTGGGGACCTTAGCACAGGCATCTGGTACCTTTGAGATGTCCTGTGGTATCCAAAACCTCTGCATGGGGATGATTGATCTGACATGGAACTTCTTGGGATCTCCACTTTCCTAAAGCTACAGGTGGAGGTCTGAAGAGGCTCTTCAAGACATCTTAAATGGCACTAAATCCATGTTTAAGCACCTGAATCAAACACTTAAAATGTATTACTTCATGTTTTGAATGCATCCATGTAGAGGACACTGCACGTGTTTGTTGAATATCACGAGGTTCCTATCTGCCCACTCCGTTAGCTTGTCAAAATCCCTGTCCCAGCCCTGCTATCTGCCTGTCAACTCCTCCCAGCTATATTCTTTACTATTATATTTAACATTTCTCTGACGTGGACTGTGTATTATAAAATGCAGCTGCAGAGGCTGACAGCTAGGTTATTTTATATTGTATGTATACCCAGTGCAGGAATTAAAAGTAGTCCATTTATGAACTGAGAACGGTCAGGACTCTGCTACAATTGCAGATTCTCTTCCATGACTCCTGCATCACAAACTCTTTAACCTTCATCTGTCAGTATTTGAGGAAGAATACAGTTTTATAGGTTTGGGTTCAATCATTTGGCATGTGGGAAAAGTACTGTTCATCATCTTGTATGAGGGAATTACTCAAATTTAGGAACCTAAAAGTTAGGAGCCTCCTCAAAGATACTCTTCCAGGTCTCTCCGTTGGCAAAAGGAAGAAGGAGGTTCGTCAGAAGGTGGGTCTTGCCATATTAATTTGAGTGGGATTCCATTCCAGTTTAAGCATCTAAATCCAGCATCTAAATCCAAATGTTGACATATAAGTGTGTGTATATGAGCTAGGCATCTAAGCATCGATTATAGTCAGCAGAGATCTAACCAATACTGTCAGTGGCAATCTGATACCTTCAAGATGGTCAGTTTAATTGATCTGTAGGCTCTGCTGACAGTATTGATTAGGTTTCTGTCAGGTTTAATGGGAGCTCGAACATCCAGCACACCTCCAGACGACTGTAGGTGAACACCTGATTTAGATACCTTAATCTCAAAATGAATCCCACTTAATTACATTCCATAACTACAGGTGTCCAGTGCCATTTGGGATGTCCATGTTATCCATGACATTCACAACGGTTTGGCAGATGTAATGCAAGACATTGATAGGAGAATTATTCTGAATTGCCAGTTGGAGACCAAGCACAATATTTGCAGGGCATTTCAAATGGCACTACCCATCTATAGTCAGGAAATCGTATCGAACCACTGCTTATGATCTACATCCCTGGCCGCTTTCACAGTCAATAGACAGACACACTGTTATTGAAGAGAAATTATAGAATGTTTTAGTTCGATAGATATAATTAACAAAATCTAACAAGTACCCTACCAAATAATGAGTGAGGTTGAGTGAGATTATGATTATAGTATCACTGTATCAGATATTTGCTTCTTTCAGCACTGAACGTCGCCTTTCATGGTGTTTGTTGGAATAAGAAAAAGAGACGTGAAAATAGAACCGAGAATTTGCAATCTGATGGACATTACAAGATATGAGACTTATTTAGTAATTAAGCTGGGACAAACCCAGGGCCTCTAATTGGAAATTAGTGTGGGAAAAGTTCACAGGATATGGCCCAGAGGGAAACGTAAAGAGACCACTAGACTCATTTGTTCAGTACCTGGTTCAGTACCTGGTGTTCCACAATTAGAAGATATGAAGTGACTTCTCTCCTCATTAACGCTACCAAAACCCCAATGGAGTCAAGCAGGAAGCACACAATTTGTCGCTACACTTGTTATTATTTCTACCTTGGCAGGTTATTATTTGTCACTAAAAGCAATACCCAGGACTCTCTGAATGCTGGCATCTAAAACCCAGGGAATAACATGCCCAGGAAAGGAAAGCTTGAATTTTGCCACATCCACGTGTAGCAGTGAGTATTTTTACAGAGGATGGGGAACTGAGTTGTTTGCATCATTCAGTTTCCACTCAGCAAGATACTTTGAACCCACGGCAGGTTGTTACAACTACTTTATGTGACCCATATGTCCTTAAACACCAGGAAAATGGGGATGAGGAATAAAAAGCCACCCTCCCACTCTGCTCAGCCGTCCCATGTGTCATGAAATGCAATAAAACCCAGGTGCTCCACATGCTGGCCATTTGCCAGGCCTTTCCCTGGCTCACTGCACGCCCCAGCAGCTTTGCAGACTGAGGGCTGTGTCTTCAAAACCCAAGGAATTTCACACCCAGTACCTCCCACTGAAGTCTGTAATGCCCAGCGGATGAAAGTTGCTCCTGAGCAGAAGAAAAGCATGAGTAGAAGAAGCTCCTAAGCCTTGCACTGTGCTTTAGAGTATTGACTGCCAAAGGGCAGCCAGAAGGTTGCTGCAGGTTGCACGGGGTCCCAGTTGAATTCCTGGGTGAATTTTGCCTTCCAAGGTGAAGGCAAAGAAGCAAAGCCAACGTAGGTTTGCACTGCCAGCCGCAAGTGCTTTGTCTCCATCTCTCAGGGATAAGGAGAAACAAACCTTCTGGCTACGTGTGTGCTCGTGAGTGTGTGCTCCTGGCAAACATCTGAAAAGTGGGGAGACAAACTGGGAGTGCTTCTTTTTAGCGAAGCAGGGGGGGAGGGAAAGACACAGAAGCATAATATTGTTCAATTTGGTCAAAACAGGTAAAAGAAGGATAGAAAGGAACTGGGTTATCTTCTTCTGGGCTCATAGGGTTCATACCTGGATTTCAGGAACGATAGGGCCTTTCTCTGAGCAGGAACTCGCAAAAGCTGTCAGCGGGGATGGCGAGACCACGGGGTTGGGCCGAGCAAAGTTACTGAGATCACAGCTGGGGATCTCATTCTCCTCGTGCCTCATGACGATGGTTTCCATGACGAAGAAGCGATCCCAGGGCAGCCACAGCGTGTGCTCCTGCGTGATGAAGGGAGCCCGCTCGAAGTGCAGGATAATGGAGATCCCGCCGATGGTAACAAGATCGAAGCTGTTTTAAGAGGTGGAAAACAAGGTTAGTGCAAGCAACACCCCGTGTGTTTGTAGCAAGGAAATATGTTTGTAGCAGAAAATTAATCACAAGTCCTCATAGGCCACAGCAATACCATCACTCACATTTTACAAATATAAAACCTACAGCTCAAAGAAGCTGTTGTTGGGCAAGAGCAAGTGGAATATGCAGGAGTACAACACTTTCTTTGCCTGTTATGTACTTGTACATTAAAATATTCCCATCCTTTTTTTATTTTTATTTTTTTTGAGAAAAATGTTTGTCTTTGCTATTGCTTTTCTAGTGTTATTTGACCATACATGCTCATTTTCTTTTTTCTTAAAGTATTTTTCATCCCACCGGAGTCACAGATTGGATCAATTCACATGCTGAAATAAACTATTTGGAAAGTGGTTTCTCTGACATGCCAGCATATAAATTGTCTTGGCATTCACTGCTAACCTGACTAATACCTAATGCAAGTCGGGAACATGTGGAGCCCAGTTGCAGACTGAACCTACTGTACTAGGCAAAGGGAAGAAATGAGGACCAGAAAGGCAGTCTCTGTGCCCAGCACTCAGCACTTATACACTTATCTTATTTTTTTAACTCTTAATCATTTAGAGCAGGGCAGGTAAGTCACTGCCCATGGTCCAACTAAAATCTGCAACTTCGTCCTAGGCTACCACCAGCCAAGTGGCTTTTCTGTCTGTATTAGTGTTAGAGAATATAGAATATCATGTTGGGTTAACAGACAGCCCTCCAGAGCTGTCTGAAAGGACGCTATCTCAAGAAGGAAAATATTCTTCCTCTTGATGTAAAGATGTTGGGATAGAGAGTGCCGTTCGCTTGTTTTACCTTCGTGCTATATTTAACGAAGCACCACAGGATATATCTATTACGTATAGATGCAAACAAGAGGCACAACTGAGAAAGGAAGAGATTTTGGCACAAATTGAAGACCTCCTGTTTTTGTTTGTGCTTTATTTATTTATTTATTTATTTTCTTCTGTATCTGTTCTGTTGCAATGCCAAACCCATGTTTCAGGCACAGAAAGTTTTCTCTTCCCCACTTCTCACTTGAGATGCTTGGAGCTGGTGTATGACAGCTGTACGGTGTATGACAAACTTGCTGTTGTGTGAGAGGCTCCCTGGCTTTAGCACTGCTGCTCACGTGCTTTAGAGCTGTGTGCCCAAGTACTTCTCTGTGCATGAGGAGCAGGATCTGAAAGCATGCTGACAGCCCAGAGCCAGCCTCGATGCCCCTTGTAATTACAAGGTAAGAAAGATGATGAAAAAAGGTATCTAAAATTATTTTGTAATTAATTCTGAGGCTTTCAGATCTGCTGCAAAATCCCCAGAGGGGAAACAAAAGGTACAAATTACTTCTAAAAATCTTTGGCAAGCAATCACTAAAGAGATTATTATTATTATTATTTATGGACAATAGACTGAGGTGCCATTTAGTAAATATAATTATGACAAGAGAGTTATTCAGGAAAGAATGTTAAATGGAGTCCATGGGAGGGAGAGGAAAGCATTTTAAAAACCTAATGACGTGTTTATTCTACCACTCAGCTGGGGACATCGACTTCCCAGACCTATGGAGCTTGGCTAGCAAGAGCCTGACGAGCAACTTGCAGGTCCTTGCCAGCAAAGGCTCGCAGCATTTGTACTTTGATGAGGATATTTTTAACAGTCAATTAGCATTTGGCAAGCCCTGCAGCTAGGAGGGCGAAGCTCTCTTTGCATGAATCTGGGCACTAAAAGGGGCAATGGGAGGAAAGAAACAAACATTACAAATGATGCCCAACACATTTTTAGGCAAGTGGGAAAGAGGTTTTATTTGGAAACACCTCTGTTTTGCTCCTTTGTGAGCGGTTCTTGGCTTCCACGAGCCTTGGTCAGGGATGGTAACCTGTCTGGGGAACCAGCCTTGCCTCTCCTGCATCTGCAAAACAGGGCGCAGAAGGGAAAGCACCACCTCCATGTCAGGCTCCAGCAGCTGGAAAAGCACAGAAGTGCAATCTTTTGCAGCAGGCGCTGCTTGCTGCACATGAGCTGTTCTTCCCAGAGACACAGGGTGCAGATTGGAAGTTACCTCGCTGAACTGAACACAAAAAAACTAAAAGCAAAACCAAACAGAAAAACCTAAACTGAAAATACCCTCCTCCCAGCTTCCCTTAGTGAAATTAAATTTAACAGGAACAAAACCATCTTGGGATTGAAAGAATGAGATAATTTTATTTCTGGTTTTGCTGCTGTTCTCTGATGTCTTTTTTATCACTCTAAAAAAATCAGACTTGTTGTACCGTCATATTGTTCTGTTTTTCTTAAAAGACTCTGGAGAGACAGGCCAAAGGCTGAAATTCTCTATTTATCCACAATGCAGGCTCAAAAGAAAAAAAATAAGCACAGAAAAGTGTAACCCTTTCTCATCTCTTTGCTCTGAAAGGCCAATGTATTTCTGAGAGAGCTGATGCCCACGTTGCTGAATGTGACAGTGGGGAGATGAGACTGGAAATATCTGGAGACTTCCCTGTCTGTTTATTAACAATGCCCCCACAACCACGTGATGTCTTATGGCCTTTATAAACCACCAGACTGATCAAATTTAAAGCTTTATTTAAAAAATGTGGTTTATAATCCATTACAAAGACTTTGTTCCATCTATTAACTTGCTTTACAGAGAAATCACACAACAGAGCGGTTTCAGAGCTGGCATTTCATCTTCATGCCTTGTTACCTGAACAGAGTCTGTGTCCCAATAATTAGGCAAGAATCACGTGTAAGCCTTTATGTTCTCAAAGAGGTTTTCTGGGAGGAGCAGGGATGATTTTGTGAACAGACTAAGTAACGTGACTTAAATAGGACCAGGATTTCACCACTGGAGACTGTATCTGGCTGCTGTAATGGGAGTGGAACCTACCTGCAGAGACCTGGGATATGCTGAACCATTCACTGGGGTGAAAAATTCACTTCACTGTAATTTTAAAACTGAAATTTCACTTACAGTACTCATTTTGAAACTTGGTCATGCCAGAAAAAAAAATTACTAAAGCAACAAAATCAGCTTAGGAGCCAATCAAGTTAAGCTGATGCAATTCTGTCTTTAAACTCCCTTACTTTAAAAACACAGTTATTGCCCTGCTATCAGTAAACTGATTTGCTAAATCAATTTAAGGGAACTCAGCGCACGTTTTCAAGAATAGATATTCCTATAGTGAATATGCCAAATAATAAAGGCAGTGAGTTTTAAGCAGTTATCTCATAACCTCTGGAACACGGTAACTGCTTGCATGCGTGCTCCCATTTTTCTTCCAACCTGAACGACAACAGAGATGGACTGGATGACCCCGCATGACTGTGCAGTGCCACGGAATGGAGATGCATACAGCCTGTTACTGTAGTTCAGGAGAAGCTACTTTTTGCTAAAGAGCATCAACTTCTAAAACCATGGTGACTCAATCACACGAAAACTGCGCTGTGGAAAAGCTGATGAGAAGAGAGATGTTTCTTCCTAAATGGTCTAATTCTGAAAACCATCAAAGTACGTAATAGAAACAGCAACAGCGTAATTCTTTATGTGACTTCCAAAGTGCTTTACAAATAGTATTCAATAAATGCTGCTAGAACCAGTAAGGGAGGTGAGTAAATGTTACCTCCCCTTCACAGGATGGTTGGCAGGTCTAACAAAGGTTCAGAGATGCATCTAATGATACCTGCTAAATTGGCAACAAGACTAGGATTAGAATTAAGGGATGTCTAATGCCATTTTCTGCCCTGATAATTTTAGTTTGAACGCTCTTGAAGATTTCAAGGTAATTTTTAGAAGGCTTTGCCACTGAGGAAGTCACTGGATTCTGGTGCTCTTTAAGAAGGGGCTTTCACCTGCCTATTTATTACCTCCAGAGTACAGCAATGCACCGCCCTTCCATTTCAGAAAATACCTGCATGTATGCCTTAGACAATTTGGGGAGTATTTTTGTGATTCAAGAGCCTCAGTACTGCAGCTGGACAATTTGTTGAACGTCGTGCACCAGACCTGCACGAGATTTCCATAGATGTAGAAAGATTTGAGGGGAAGGTGAAGAAATTGAGATCAGAAGAGCTGACACTGTGCTGCCTGGGGTTCGAACACCAGCAGCTGCCATCAGAAATCCCAGCTTCAGGATGAGTCCCACATGCTCTCAGATTCCCTCGTCTGAGGCAGCTGATCTCTGTCATTTGTATCACTTGGACCTGAGCGTCTGTCAGGGGCTGAGTCAGCAAACAGCAGCACTGAGCTCCTTGAAACCAATTTAACTTCTGGAGGCTGGCAGCGGGCCCCAAGGAACCAGCAGTTCACTGAGGGTTGGTGGAGCATACTGATGCTGCAGCTGCATCGCTTTCTGGCTGAGCTGGAGGCTGGGGAGGACGTGGTGTGAAAGGAAAAGCCCTGGCTTGATCCGCCAGCAGAAGTAGCCTTATAGCTTGAAGTGGAAAGAAATAGTAACTCAAATATTGAAAGGTGCAGGGATAGCACTGCTCACCTCTTGCCCTGTTATGTTTGTTGGCTAGAGGTGTGGCTAAAGGCAAGGTCCCTCTGTTTTAAGTACAGTGCAACTGCAAAGCAAAGAGATGGTCCCTTCCTCAGAGTACTTGCACATAGTAATTGTGTATTATGTAGGGCAAGGAAACAAGCAGACAGCAAAAAGGTTATAGCAGGCATTATTGGCCAAGAGTTTCATGGATATATATGTTCTAACATATGCAGATTTTGTGCTGGTCTATACGCAGCAATTTGATGCTGAGTGTGCAGTTTGAAAGCAAAGTATGTTCATGCAAAGTGTGTTCAGTGAGTCTGATAGACACTCATAGCATAAATGTGCAAGGCTTTTTCCTTTTTGCTGTAATGCCTAAGCTATAGGAACTGCAAAGGCATCCTTTTCTGAAGGAGACCATGAGTTTTCCAGGGATGCCTCTTAATTGTCATATCCTACAATAGATGCAGCATCACTAAGCCTCCTAGTCACCATCACTGTTAGAGTAGGTGCAAAACCCCCCGAGCATGAACAAGGCAGCATTAATCACACGTTGCTAGCACACGTTCCTCTCTTTCATTATAATTCTATCAGCTCCTCTGGCCAAGTCAAACCTTTAATGAAAGTGGTGAATTGGAGAGGTGCTAAAATCCATAAATCCTCTCCCAAGTGCTAGTGGTTAGTAGTCAATACACAGGGCATGTGCAGCTGGAACCCCTAATATTTCATTTTTGTTCTTAAAAGAAAGGGAGCCAATTAGCGCTGACAGACAAAAGATAAGATGAAAGGCTTTCCCAATTTGCAATGGTTTTGTTTTGGTTGAGAGTGATTGTTCAGATTTTAAGCACTTGCCTCTAAAACAACTGTAATTTTAATGACTTCTTCCTAATCATTTCAACATGAATTAACAAGAATAGAACTGAAGGAAACTGCACGCATGCGCAGTTCATTGCCTAATTGTTGGCTAATGATTCTAGTTTATATTACAAAGTGAATAAATAATAAAAATAACAACCAACACCAGCAATAAGGCATCAACATCTTCAAAATGCATAAACAATAAATGTGCCCTTGGCAGTTCTTCCTTAGTGTTGATAGCATTAACACTGCACTCACTGCTTGAACACTGTAAATCCTGTAAAGATATCCTACCTGCCGTCCTGTCTGCTGATCGTGTACCCAAAAAGAGGATTGTTGACAAAGCTGATGTTGACTCCAACCAGAGGGGTCCCGTCTGCTGTCATCACCTGGCCTCGAATCACACATGCATGTCTGGATGAACAAGGAGAGAAACGGTAAGAAATGGTAAGTCTTTTGGCAAAGGGAGGATTTTCCTCTATTTCTGGGGCTTGGAGCTCCTTTTAATTAGGCAGCCCTTTTGTCTTGGAAAGCATGGGGCCATGCAGTCTGGCCTGATGGTGGCATGCTGCTCTTGAAGATTTTCTCACGAGGTGTGTAAGAACATTCGACACCAGAATTAAGGCTTACCTTTAACCCATTCTTGAAAAACACAAGTGCTGCAGCAGATACTTCACAAACTATGAGCTTCTGTAGGGTTCACAACATGACATGGGAATTTGCTGTAACCAGCTAAGTTTCGCAGTGCCTTGACAATACTGCCCTAACGAAGGGCAAACCACATTTTAAACTCAAAGAGCACAGAAGCATTTTAAATACTGCACGGACATATTTACAGCACAGAAGCCCTCAGAGGTAAGAGGCACACTGGGCTTGATGGCTTATTTCATCCAGATTTCACAAAGACCCTTAAGTTACCACTTGGGAAGAACACGACAGATAATTTGCTAGGTTCAGATAGCTTCCCTACAAAATGCTTGAGGAATGGAGCAAGTTAACAAGACGGGCTTTTCCTGCCTGTCTTTTTCCAAGTTTGGTAGCTTGCACTATTTTATAGACTACGTGTATTCCAATTACTCTATGCCCTGTAATGTGCTTTTATCTGGGGATCTCAAGGATCTTTACAAACATTGATTAATACTGCATGATAGGTATTTTACAGAGAAAGCAAATAAAGCAGAGTGGTTTTCAGTTGTCCAAGGTCAGGCAGAAAATCTGCAGTAAAGCCAAAGACAGATTTTCTGGGTTCTCATTCCAAAGCCTGTTTCCAGACCTCTAAGTCATTGCTATGCTGCTACCTGAGGTGCTTTCTGTAAAGACAAAGCATCACACGTCCGTGAGAGTGTCTGAGCCCAATTGCTGGCTGAGGCCAACTATTTTTCTGAGCAACAACAGCAAATTGTGGTGTCAGTGTGCTAACATGACCCGGTGAGTGATTTTCCTTACTGTTGTCTTGGTGGAGAGCAGATATTGAAAGCCAATGTTTCTACAGGTGTGGGACCAGTTCTCAGCAAGAGTAAATCATCCCAGCTGCACTCGCTATCTGCCCACTTGAGCTGAGAAATGTCACTTCGCTGGTTCACTCAGGCAAATGACATCTGCACTGTTTTGTAACGTTGATTTCATAAACACTTGAAAGATCAAGTTATTTTCTTTGAGTCCATCGGGAAATCCGATATTGTATAATGCAGGGAGATAACGTATAATTTCTATTAAGTAAGGGCTGCAGTCGTTGTATATTCCACAGCACAGAAAACAGACCATTTGTCAGGGAGTCTTAAAACTCCTACTGATCTAAACAGAGAGCTCCAATATTAACAGAAATTCTCGAAGCGTTACCAGAATGTGCCGGCAATCTAAAATGTGACTTGATTCATATACAATTTTGGAATAGAACACAGGAAAATGAGATAATGGAACTTATTTTTCTGTCACTGAGTCTTCTCTGATATATCATCCCCGACTTTTTAGGAGTCATGCAGGAAAAGACTTGGAGCCAGCTTGTAGTTAATAATGTTTTTCGTATTTCTGTTGCTTCTCCCACTGAAGGCTCTAACCCAACTTCCAGTAGACAACAAATTTAAAATAATAGCCAACTACAGTGAAGTAAAACATATGTCACTCTCTAACAGGCAGGCAAAACATAACTCAAAGGATCACAATACCACGGAATATGCTGGGAATAATGTCAATGCCTGGAATGACCCTGCTGAAGCCTACAGGTCACCAATTGTACGGCAATTTTGTACAAAGTTAGTATGTGCAATCACATACCTGAGTGAAGAGCTAGGCTTTCTCTTCCCAGATTTTTCCGTGATTCCCCCCACCCCACCCCATCTCCTTTCCTATCCTTTAGGGAGCTCCGTGGAAAGGTTTGGAACCGTCTCCTCTCAGCTCCTTACCAGATGGCTGCACATTTTATGAAAGGCAAGGAATCACTACAGACTTATTTGAAGACTAAAACCTTGTTGCAGAACATGAGGCACTCAGTATTCTGGCTCCCTGATTGCATATTCAAGTCAACATGGGGACTGCTCGTGTTTTAAAATACTCAAGAGACAAGATCATGCTGTGTTTTTGCAAACACGGAAAGAATACTTCCACTTGTTCCTTCCTTCCAAGAGTTAAAAGCAAGCAAAGGAAAAAATACAAAATGCTGCAGGTGTCTCCCCTGCTGCCCCACTTCAAACATGTCCAAGCAGTTGCAAACTTCTACGTAATATAGCAAGCACATTGGCTTAGGTCCTCAGCTCCTGTTAATGGGGGGATGTGCTTTATATCAGCGAGCATCTGGTCCATTACATATCACAGACAACTATTTCTTCAGTAACAGGAATCAGCACAATATGGACAAACAGATGCATTTGACCTCCAACCTTTCAGCAAGAGGCTTCATTCCCATCCTAGCTGATGTTTTGCAGTGCTGCCTCCACCACCATTTGTGCATCGACGTGCTCAGTAACTCACTAGCATCTCTTTGCAGAGAAGCAGCTCATCGACAAGCCCAGCTGCATCCACCAGTCCCCCAGAGGACTACAACAATAGCTTTCCTTACGTGCTATAGGGAAAGATATATTCCCACAAAGGGGACATCCTTCCCAAAACCACAGTGATAAAAAGGAGCTGGAGCAACACGCACAAATCTGAATTCAGTTAAAAGCGGGAGGGATGGGAACTGGAGAAAAACCAAAGCCCAGACTCTGCTTGATTAGATTCTCAAATCTTCTTCCCTAGGTGATAAAATTTGCCCCGCTTGGGAAAAACAGTGAATACAGTGCGTGGGAAGCAGCTGGCTTCTCTGGTGTCAACGTGTCCTTTCTGGAGGCAAGATCGACTACCCACAACACACTGAGCCCCCCAGGAACCTGGTTAATGCTAATTTAGTCAGCCATTTCCTTCAGAAGACCTTGGTCTAAATGCAATTACACTACAAACAAGTTAAGTGGTATTGCTAAGACGCTCGGCTCTGCTAGAAGGTCTCCCAATATATTTGCATAAAATTATCTCTCATGTTAATAGAAGAGATTTATTCCATCAGGCTAGGCCTGCCAGTTCAGAGTGTTTTCTGCAGTTGAACAAAATTGAATTTCTCATAGCTAGAGCCTCGTCTTCCCATTGAATTATTAAAAGATTCCGCATACTGCCTCTGTTTTCTGTTTGTCTTTTGTTTTGTTTGCTTGTTTCCTTCACTACTTTTATTTTAGGGTGTATGGATTCTTGCTTTGCAATGAACAGCACTCTGCTGTTTTTCTACTTCTCTAATTAGACTTCCCCTATTTTTTTGTTAGAATTTGTCCATAAAGGCTTCCCTGAAACACCAAGCCATTGTCGAATTGCTATCTAGAATGCCAGATGGTATATCAGACCATTTTATACCATTGCTTTGTGAAATCGTCTTTATTCCTTTGAAAATTAATTTAAGCCTTCCTGGTAAGATCTGGGCTACAGGGGCAAAACAGAGAGAGTGCAATGATACCTTTACTTTCCCATTGCTCAGATATAAAGAAGGTTTGATAGGCTGCTTTACAAAATCTAAGCAGACCAAAAGAGTTTTAGAACAGAAGACAGAAAAGTAAATTCCCCAAAAGCCATCTCTCAGCTTCCCATGGGAGTACATTAAAGATCTGACTATAATACTGTATCTGACCCAATGTCTCATAACTTAGACATTGGTCCTTCCAACACTTCTTATTCATAGCCGTTTTCTGCTGACACTGTGCCTGGCACTGGGACATAGAAAAAAAATACTGCTTTTGCTGAACATTTTTCATTGGAAAAAGAAAATCCCACACATTCTAAATCCTCTTTTGCTGAAAGAAATGTATATTCTTTCCCTGACTGAGAATAGGTGCCAAGGGGAAATCTCACCTCTATGAATTTCTGAAGCTCCTCAAAATATTTCCTCCAAAACTCATTGTGCTTTCTCCTTCAAAAGTTTCAGATGTATGGAGATGGTTATCATGACTACTCAGCCAGCTTCAGCCAAGTTATTCATAATAAATATTTTAATTTGCCGCTATAAATCTTTTTATCTCTTTGATCTTATTTACCACTTCACATTTTACTGGCATAGACATGCTGGGGATTTATTCATCTGCTCTGGATGAACCTTCACCACAGCACCCTTGTGTGAAAACCTAGAAAGTTATTTCATGTTGGTACGAGCCTTACAATTGAAATCAGGTGATTCCAGCAATATTTCTTCTTCTGCTAAAGACTTTTTGTTCAACGCTGGTCCTATCAGCTGGTCTGCATGTGTTCTAGTACTCCACCTGCAAAATTACAACTGAGGCCCATTTTCTTACAGGGACATTAAGAGGATAATTGTAGTAATCTGCTAATCGCTTGCGCAGGAATTTTTACATTCTCACAGTACTTCATCTGCAACGTGCTGGGAAACCTTTCTGGTAAGTACCTATAAACACAGTCATTTGGTACAAACGTGATCTCATGGCTTTAGCTGTTGTGACCTTTTTGCTTAATAATAAGGCGGGATGCAGCAAAACGTACCTCAACCACTTTGGTCTGAATGCACCTGTCTTGGGTCAAAACACCTCAGGGCTGTCTAGCACTGGATAGACAGAAAAATTGGTAGCATGCCAGGTAAAAGCCAAGGGCATCATGATCAAGCACATGGACACAGAGAATGCCTGAGCTGACAGATGAAGGACAAAAGAAGAAAAGGCAACAGCAGAACATACAGACCTTCAAGTTTATTGTTTGTGGCAGTATCTCCCTCAAAAGCTGCTTGTAAAAAAAAGCTCTGTCTGTTAAACAACCTCTGCCCAGTTGCCTCTGAACTGCGCCAAAAAATTATCTTGATGGTCTTTCCTTGAACTGAGTCAATCCCTTTCTAGCTTCTTCAGTTTAGCTGTAGGAAAAGCTGAATTTGGAAACCCCTCTACTGATCTAGA